AGTGTCACGTGTTGAAAATGATTCATTTGTGATCAACCACAGCAGGTTATTTTTCTAGAAAAGCCACAAGTTACTGAACATAAGGAAAATCTGATTTCCTTCTTTGTGAAAAAAATGTGTCAAGAATAATACATATTTCCTACAAATCATTAAGAACATCATTAAAAAAAAAATCCAGGGTGCGTGGGTGGCTCAGTCAGTTAAGTATCCGACTCTTGATCTCAGGTTGGATCTTGATCTCAGGGTCATGAGTTCAAGCCTCACATTGGGCTCCTCACTGGATGTGGAGTCTACTTAAAACAGTAACAACAAAGCCAGTCACAAAAGCCTTAAAAAAAGAAGAAGAATATCATATTAACCACTTGAAGTAAAAAAAAAAAAAAGAAAAAAAGTGAGTCCTTGCCACTTTATGTAAAGTGTTTTGAGAATCTTTTGGGGGAAGTGTTTTTAAAATAAGACATAAGTTACTAGTGTCTGATACAAAGTAACTCCAGTAGGAGATTGACTTTGGGAGAATGTGAGGCCAGCAGGCTCTGAGGCCAGGCCCGGAGTAGGGCAGGACTTTGACAACATTTGAGAAACTGAGGAAGAAGACTTTGCATGCAGATAGAGTATAGCGTGAGCAAAGGCAAAGATACAGGAAAGTTTGAGAGTGTGAAGATTGAAGTGTAGTGAGGATCAGTGGTGAGGAATGAGAATGGGAGTATGATGGAGAGATAAGTTCAGTCTTGACTCGTGGACTGAGGAGTTCAGAATTTATTCCACCAGGTTCTTAATCACATGGTTGACAGAGAATAGTAAGTATTTCCTACAAATGATCAAGAACAACATTAAAAAAAAAAAAAGTCAGGGTATGTTTGGTACCATGAAAGATGGACAAGGAAGAGGATGAGGACCTGGCAGGAGACGAGAGAAAGGAAAGCCTGAAGAAAGGAGAGAAGAGGCCACTCTGGGTTTGAAGCCTTAGCTCAGGAGAAGAACCAATTGTTTGGCCAAATGCCTGCAGTTGGGGGGACATGAGGGTTATTGGGTTGAGGGCAAAGAAGGTGGAGGCCACAGGGTCATTAAACCAGGTCATTGTAGCCAGGATGTTAGAGAAGGGGTTGGACTTAGAAGGATCTGGCACCCAGAAAATGTTTGTGCCAGGCGCCCCAGAGGGGTTATTGGGGATTGAAAACTGAGAAGTCAGAGGCCAACTCATGGGAAGGTTGTTTGGAGAAAGAATGACGCAGGCAGTATGAGCTACTAGTAACTGATACTAGACGCTACTAGTAATTGATCTTAGAGGTGGGGCCCTGGAAGTCAGTGAAGACCATCTGAGCAACAGTGAGAAGTCTGTGATCAAAGTGGAGACATGTCCAGTGGACACGCCTGGGTGCCTCAGCGGTTGAGCGTCTGCCTTCAGTTTAGGGCATGATCCCAGGATCCAGGATTGAGTTCCACATCGGGCTCCTTGCAGGAAGCCTGCTTCTCCCTCTGCCTGTGTCTCTGCCTCTCTCTCTCTCTCTCTCTCTCTCTCTCTCTCTCTCTTTCTCTCTCTTTCTCTTTCTCTCCCTCTCTCTCTTTCTCTCTCTCATAAATAAATAAAATCTTAAAAAAAAAAAAGAAAGAAAGAAAGAAAGATGCATCAGCAGGAGTCACCTTGAAGCAAGATAGAGGGAATGTCCCAGGAAAAACAACAGAGAAAGCAGCACATAGTTACTAGATTTGCCTCTAAGTATTTCATAACCTAGGCAGGGGCTGAGATCATATAGGTGACCAAATAATATACTTATTACTACAAGCAATTTATAAACAAAGTAGTTCGTTTATTTTTACCATAATTAATTTTTTTGTAAATTTCATTGACTTATTTTTAAATTTAAGTATAATTAGCAGAAAGTGTTATTTTAGTTTCAGATCTAATGATACCACAATTCTGTACATTTCTTACTGTTCATCTTGATAGGTATCCTCTTGATCCCCTTCATAGATCACCAATCCCCTGCCCACCTCCTGTCTGGCAACCACTAGTTTGTTCTTTGTACTTAAGAGTCTTTTCTCGGTTGTCTTTCTTTCTCTTTGTTCGTTGTTTTTCTTTTTCTTTAATTCTGTACATGTATGAAATCATAAGATACTTGTGTTTCTCTGACTGTTTCACTTAACACTTAGCATAATACCCTCCAGCGTCATCCGTGTTCTTCAGATGGAAAAAAAAATCATCCTTTTTGAAGGCTAATACTCCTCTGTGTGTGTGTGTCTTTATTCATCTATGGATGGACACGTGGCTGCTTCCATATCTTGGCTATGGTAAAAAAAAAAAAAAGCCACAGGAAACACAGGGGTACCTATATCTTTTCAAATTAATGTTTTCATTTAAACACAGTAGTTTTCAAAAGAACTTTTTTTCCTTTTAAGAATACTTGCTCTGAATAGTTCACATCTGATGGTTTCCTTGATGTTGATGAAAATCTTTCTTTGCTGACATGATAGCCTTAACATCAGGCAGTGCTGAGCTTCAGTCTTCCTCTTGTACTTTATAACCCTTTGTTCCTTTTCAGTTTACATCCTATAACTCCAATTGGCTTTTCTGAATCTGAGGCAGGCTGCCTGGTGGCGAATTCTAGCCTGAGGTGTCCCGGCTGGCAAGACGTAGAACCAGAATTTCAGCCTGGCAGCCTGACCAGAAGCCTTGCCTCTGACTGTGCCTATCATTTCATGGTGAGGCCTACTCAGGACTTCATGGACATACTGGACAAATGAATGTCTGTATTTATTGTCCTCTTACTGTCCAGAATTTCTGTACTTATGGAAGTACTTATTCTGAAAATAAAACATCATAGTTTAGAGTTTGGAGGGCACAGATTGTGTGTGTGTGTGTGTGTGTGTGTGTGTGTGTATAGCTGAGTATAAGTTCCTCCCTTAACAAAACCCACGGGAGGAAGGGATTCTCTTAAATGAAATGTGATTGTCAGGCCCTTAGCATGACTGCCGTCATTGACAGTATCCGCCAGAGGGGCTTGTGAGTATCACCATGTCAGCTGTAGATTCAGGAAATTCACAGGCATATGGATGAAATGTCCACCTGCTGTTCATATTGGACTTAGAACAAAATCACTAGAAACTTCACTTTTTGTCTTGGAAGATATAAGTGATTGAATGGAATCATACTTCCACATGTAAAACATACACTCTGTTTTTTATGCTCCTGGTGTGCTGCAAGCAGTTGTCCCCCCATCTGTCAGTGAAGAATTTTAAAAAGTCCCACCATGATAGCATTCTAGAACATGAGGCTTATTAGCGTGGGTAACTTTCTTGCAAATCCCCCTCTCTTTCTCTACTTTTTTTTTTAACATCAAATTTTTTTAATGTGAGAAAGGAGACTCAAATAAAGGGTAAATTTGCTATTCCAGGATCTTAGACAAATGGATTCAATATTGAAATTATTTTTTTTGAGGCACTATTTTGTTTCCCCTGAATTTATCTGTAAGTTTAAGTGATACAAGAGAAAATTGACACATTTTTCAAAATTTGACATTCTGGTGCAAAAATTTAGATTTACTTTTAAAATAATAAGCTGACACTAAATTTCTTGTGTGAAAATAAACCAATAAAAGATTTATGCTAAAGTGCTAATGGTATTCTGTGTAGTGGGCTCCCAGGTCACCTGGTATTTGTACGAACGGATTCCTAGGATACAAGAAAGAGTCCAGAAGTAGGCCCAAGTCCAGTATATGATTAAGGTGACATTTCAACTCAGTGGGGGGAAAAGATGGATATTTTTTTTTCATTAAATGATGTTAAGCCAACAGACTGACTACAAGAAAAAATTAAGTCAGATTTCCATATTATTATTTCTTCCACTGAAGGAAATTCCAGACAAATCAGAGATGCAACTATACAATCTCTTTGGAAAGCAATTTGACAAAATCTATCCACTGAAGAAGCACATTCTCATTACCCCACCAATTTCTCTTCTGGGAATTTCACATAAATGTATTGGACACATGGGGGATGGTGTATGAGGAGGTGCATTGTGGCATTATTTATGGTAGCAAAATGCTGAAAGCACAATACATGAGCATCAGCATATGCTTGTTAGACTGTGGAAGTTAAACACAGCAGATGACATGGGGCCACAGGGAAGAGCCACATGACCTGTATGTGCTGATGGACCACGGAGAATGTGTCAGACCATTACATGAAAAAAACAAACACCAGTGCCCAGTGCAAAGTATAATTTGCGTCCACTTAGATGTTTAAAAGCAAAAAGGATCTCTGTGGGTGGGATGTTTGATTAAGTATATATAGGGAATTCCTTAGAGGTTGTTGTGTGGAGAGAATGGCAGCCTAAGTGGTAGACATATTTTTTTGAAGTGCATATCCTTTTGTTTTGCTCGAGTTTTTTTTTTTTAAACTGGGAAGGTATTACTTTTCGTATAAAAATAAAAACCTAGTCAAAAATACAATGGATTTACTCCAAAACAGTTAAAGTGAATCCAGCAGACCCTCATCAGCATGTATAATCTCAAAAACATGGTCTAACTGAAAACAAGACAGCTTGAAAAGAGATAAGTCCCAAGTAATGTTGTGTAGGTCAGTTTTAAGAAAATAAAAGTTATTTATGAATGTGTACATACCCAGTGGAGGATAAAAACATCTGCAGGAATGGATATAGATTCAGAAAAGTAGTTGCTGGGGGTGATGGAAGGAGAAAGAGGGAGTAGAACAGCCACGTGTAATTGTTCCTTTGTTACTGGTTGTCGGGTTCCTCAGCAAATATTACCAAAGGTTAACAACAACAACAACAACAACAACAAATCAGGTTTTTGCTGCTTTTTGTGCTTTCCTTATCTATTTAAATGTACAATTTATTATTTGAATTTAAAATTGTTTTGAACTTATGTTCGTTTTTCCAGCAGCCCTATTGTATTTGATTGTTACATGATTCTTACTGAATTGAGTAATGCTTTTAAGAAGTCACAAATAATCTTTCTCCTTTTTTTTAACCCTAACAATAGGTCAGTAGCGGCAATGACCCCTGGTCAGCCTGGAATGCTTCCACATCTGGAAACTGGGACAGCACTGATGGGTGGGGAGCCAAGCCAGAGGGGGCCGCAGCCCAAAGAAACACCTCCAATAACTGGGACACCGCCTTTGGTCACCCCCAGGCCTACCAAGGACCAGGTGAGGAAGGGGGCTCTGCTGGTGATCAGCCCACCCTTAGAGTGACTAGGGAAGGCGTCCGACTTAAAAGTAGAATTTAATCAAAGGTGCGTTCTCAGGTACTCTTATTCACTAATAGCAAACCTAGATTTCTGGACTCAGATGTGGGTAGTTGTTAATTATAATCTCTAGTCACAGCTTCTATCATCCATCGTAGAGTCACAAACGCTTACAGGGGCCAGGTGCGTGAGGCAGAACAGGCGGCCCAGTGGCTGCGGGAGACAGAAGGGATCACCCTTCTGCTGCCAGCAGGTTGATGCCATTGTGGAAGACCCCCATTAATCTTCCTGGTCTCCACAGTACTGGAGACTAGAAATCTCCGTTTTTATGTCATCTTCCCACTCCAGAGTCTTAGCTGACACACATTTGTTTTAAAACCTTGGGCCAAAAAAATGTGTATACAGATCGAATATGACTTATCACCTGCTGGTTTATGACCTCTGACTTAATGGTTTTATCTTTTCCCTCACTACCTGTTTGACTCCCTGGCTTTAATAGAAGTACAGAGGCAAAAGGAATCTGTAGAAGGGAAACAGTTCAAGAATTAAGCAAAAGGGTATTTATGCCTGGTCTGAAATTAAAAAGACAGAGATCTGCCTCTCACTTTTTTTATGACCTGTGTATGAGCACATCACGCAGAAAATTGAATGTGCTGGTGGCAGGGAACCTGTATGGAGGAGATGTGAAGGGCGCAGGGTCCTCTTGTAGCCCAGGAGCCATGAGTTAGTGGAAGGGCTATGACCCACCAGCTGACCTCTAGTTCTGTACTAGCTCAGCCCTTATCCTTCCAGTACATTCTGTTTTTCATTTTCATTTTGGCATTTGTCTCTCAGCTTCTCTTGGCACCCCTAGGGCAGAGACCCCAGGGCCTGATAGCAAGAGGACATGGGACTCATTCGGGAGGGAGACAAAGGCCCAGACAGTGGGAGAAGGAAGTGGCAGGGAAGGCTGGCAGCAGTGTTCCCCCCCCGGAGACCACAGTTAGAGTAGGAGGCTGCAGGCGCTGCTGACTCCCCCATCTCATTTCTTCTCTTCCCCTTCCTTCTGCACACCCTTGTCCTTCCCTTACCGTCATTGTCATCAGTGTTAATTCCTTTTCAAGGATCTTTATGTCCCCCATCCTTCCTTCCCAGTGTTCATGTTTGAAAGGGTGTTGGATCTGTTTATTTGCAGGTTTATAAAGTGAGAGGTATCCGTGTTCAGGCGTTGCCCTTTGGACCCACCACAGAGCTGCTCCTAGTCTGCACCTCCCTGAAGTTACTTTGACAGCCTCATTGTTTCTGACTTGTCTTTTGCACTAAAAGGCAGAATCTGCAGTTGGAGCTCTGGAACCCACTAGAGAGCCTACACTGCACATCTGCCTTATAATCCTGTGCTACACCTTTTCTCCTCTCTTTTAATTGGCTAAGGCAGTCAGTAGCTACTGTCAGAAAATTAAGTGGTTCCATGTTTATTCCGTTTTTGTGCACTGGTGATCTTCTGTGTGCACCCCTAGCAACCGGTGATGATGACGAGTGGGACGAAGACTGGGACGACCCCAAGTCAGCTGCTCCTTACTTCAAGGATTCAGAGTCGGCAGAAGCAGGGGGTGCTCAGCGGGGCAACAGCCGTGCCGGCTCCTCCTCCATGAAGCTGCCGCTCAACAAGTAGGTTCAAGGAGCATTGGGGAGCGCAAACTCCATGCCGAAACAGGAGGTCCGAGGAGGCTTCCTCTTCTCTGGGATCTCTGAAGTTTGGGGTGTCATTTGATCATTTCTCTTTGGATCTTAGCTTTAGAAGCTTATTTAAAGAATTTTTTTTATCATTTTAAGGTGAAATACTTGTTTTGTTTAATGATCTGCCAAATACTGTTTTTACCTTTACATGTTGAGGTCTTGTTGATGTCACAGGAAAACTAAAAAGAACATTAATAATAATAACCCTCCTTTAAATGTTTTACTGTTTGTCGATCACTCACTGTGTGCCAGGCATCATGCAGAGTGGTTTCTCTGTGCTGTCATGTGACCCTCGTATCCCTCTGTGGTGCATAGAATCTCTATTCCACTGTGGGAAAAACAGAAGCCCAGAGGGGTTAAGTGTCCAAGCTCACACAGGTGATAAAGTGATCGAGTCAGGATCCCAATCAATCACTCAGTCTCTCAGCTACTCTGCCTGGTATGTTTTAAGACTTGATTTCACCTAGATTTCTCTTAGATTAAAACGATAAGAAGAGTTTGGAACAGGACTTGTAGGTAGAATCCCCACCGGAAAGTATGTGAGAAGGGGTGAAAGTGGATGTAGCACTTTGGGATTCTCCAGGGGAGGTTCCTGGATGAGCCTGTAGTTCACCCCAGGGTAGCTAGCTAGAAGGAGCTAGAATTGATGACTTCCCTAAGAATCTTCAGATGCTCTCCTTACAGCAGTGTGTTTCATAAAGTTTTTCTAAACTTACTGCCACTTTTTCTCCGTGTTCCAAGTCCATGATTCAAAGCAGACAGAAAAGAATGTTAATATGTCTGGGAAAAGTTGCAAACATAAGGTTTGCTGTATATCTAGATGTCAGTCTGGATCTAGATCTATCTATATAAGTTTGAGTCGTCCCAGTTCTCCCTTAGTATATTTAAATAGCATCAGGTGATTACAATGAGTTGTCTTTTAGACACATATTATCCCTACTTATCTGATCACTTTCTTCCATTATGTATTTTCAGGCTTAGCTGCATGCATGATACAATTAGTCACTCATATTGACTGTATCCTAGTTCTTACAGTGGAACGTGAAGTATTCAGTGTGGTCTGCAGTGATGTAAAGTAGGGTGCTGTGTAAACTTAAGTATAAGAGCATTTAAACCTGTTTGACTCTAAAGTATCTCTCAGTCCCATTTGGACAGTGAAGAAGCACTGACTCTGCAACACGTGTGTGGCCAGGAGTTCCTGGCTAGTGAGGCAGGGCTTTGCCTCCTGCCCAGGCTCCTGACCCTGCTTTCTCCTCCTCTCTGGGGCCCCACTGCTCTCTCGTCTGCTGTATGATCTTGGGCAAGTTGGGTAACCCTTTCGAACCTCAGTTTCCTTATCTCTGAAGTGAAGGGGCTGGCTTTAATTTAAAATTCTGCCCAAAAACTTCAGTTCGGGCTGAAACCAAATCAAAGGAGTCTTAATTTGACCTGGAACCTCTGAGATGTGCCCCACCCCCCTGTCTCTCATGCTGAGAGCTGCTTAAAATCGTATGTGTGTGTGTGTGTGTGTGTGTGTGTGTTTTATTTAACTAGACTAATATATAAATGACTCACTCATAACAGTCATAAAAATTATTTAAAGTATTAATGTTTTTCAGCAGTTAATCCATTTTATATGACAGCTATATTCCAGTCATGGAACATAAACCTTACACTAGAGAAGGAGATTAGAAATTAAAGTGTATTTAGCATTATAAGAATCCATCCTGATAATACTGAAAGAATTAACAAATTGCACAGCCGTTCCGTATTAAATGAGTCAGCCCTAGAGTTTTGCTGTGATCCCTGAGAATACTGAAGGAGGTATGAGATGGAACCTCTGCTCTCAGAAGCTTACAGTTTAGTCAAGGAATTGTCACTCTCTGTAATTCCCCAATTTTTCCATCTGTATTTTCTAGCAAAAGTATAGACTCTTTAATAACTGTTCCAGATTAGTCCATTGAGCATTTAGTGTATTCCCATAACTCGACTAGGAAATACAAATACTTTCTCTAAGGTACTTCTAGTCTGCTGTAATGTGTAAATGGATCATGGTGATTAAGCATGATACATTATATACATAAGTATGCTCAGAATGTTGAAGAAGCACAGAGAGAGCTGTACCCGAGGCTGTAGGGAATACTTTCAAAGAGATGATAACATAATTAGAAATAACTTTAATTTATGAGTATATATACTAGGCTCTTTATATAACTCTTTCATTTAATTCCCTTATTCATTTAATTCCCTTATTATCTTAAAAGGCAGTTCATATTGGTCCCATTCCTCACACAAGGAGACTAGAGCTCTAAAGGTCACATAGCTATTAATTGTTGGAGTTGGCATTCAAATCCAAGACCATCCAGCTCCTAGACCCCTCTTTGTTCTCTCTTATATGAGCTGTGTTTAAAGATTGTCTAGGGGAAAGAGGATAGAGGTAAGTCATTTGAGGATGAAGGAGGGGCCCCTGAAACCATCACATTGGTCTTTAGTTTGCTATATCAATGAAATAGAAGTAGTGTAGCTGTTTTTTTTTTTTTTGTAGAATTAATATTTCTTTCCCTAGTATAGGTATTTTGCTTCCTGAGAGTCTTTTTTTTTTTCCATTTATTAAAAGCACTTCTAAAACCCAAATTAATCTTGCCCTACTTGTCCAAAATAGTGCTTTGGACCACTGTATGTATATTCCAGCTTTTCTCAAATTTTAGAATGTTTGGGGTCTCTTTACTAAGGAGACCCGTTTTCTTTTGTGTCTCATAAACCAGTTCTGAAGATGACTCTAAAAGGAAATGGCACAAGTGCTTATGAATGGTGACAGCGTTTTTGGAATAATTGTGGCCTCCTAGAGGGATTATGTTGAAAGGCAGCTTTAATTTGGATACAGAAATGTTGGCGTGTGGCCACTGCCCCATGCATTCAACTCAAATGGCTGTGCTTGCTACTTTGTCCTCCTGTGCCCTGGGGGACAATTTTCTAGGCTGCCCTTCACTCTTTGTAGGGTGATAGAGTGTTTTAGATCCAGTTAAGCAAATAGAGTACCCATAAATATCACACCTTCTGGAGTCAAACTGTTCTCTTACCAGATAAAGCCTAATTAAATGACTAATTGGCCATTGAACAATCTGATTACATTAGGTTTCATTTACCAGTTTCCTACTCCTGGTACATCTGAAAGGCAGAACAAGGTTAAAACTGTTATAGTCAATGCGGACAAGACTTGTAGAATTCTATGAGGAAAGACCTAAGACTCATGACATTTGTCTTCATGACTAGGTTTCCTGGATTTGCAAAACCTGGAATGGAACAGTATTTGTTGGCCAAGCAACTAGCAAAACCCAAAGAGAAAATTCCTATCATTGTAAGTTAGCTCATTTTTGTTTGCTTGCTTTGTTTCTAATTACGCTCTTTTATAATACCTTAAAGTTAAGAGGGTTATTAGTCTTCTGGAGGGTATTTTTTAACAGATTTAATGTTCCACATAACTGACAATATATATTAGTATTGTAAGAATGCTAAAGATAATTAGCATTAATTAATGCCAGCCATTATATGTAGATATTTTTTATTTTTACCTTTAAGATTATTAGTAACTGAACTAACCGCACCTATAGTGTATATTCTTTTAATAATCTTTCTTCTCTAGGGTGTCTTGAAGTATCTTTTACATGCTGTCTTTCTACCAACTCTGTATATTTAGCTAATAAACCCAATTCAAATATTTAGTTTCTGCCCTGGCAAAGTACATGCATATTATCAAAAGATGCCCTTTTCACTGCCTTGGTAATAATTAGTCTGTCTTCCAATAAACCAGCTGTCAGGTCACAATAAGGCGCTAGCAAGTAAAAGCTAGGAATTAGTGACACCATTAAGAATCTCTCTCTTAGAACAACTTGATTATTACATGTCATGGGCTTTCTGGTTTCATCCAAATGTCAATTGCTGATAGATGTTCTGTCCTAAGCACTGTCTAGTGCTATATTTCCAGATGAAATTCTGGAAGAGAGAACTCTGGCTATCTTTTGACTCTATTGACTTAACCCTGTAACTGTAGGATGGGGTTGGGGTTGCGGAAGAGTCTTGAATGTAATCACCATGAACCCAAACAAGGCTGGAGAAACATCTCATCTTATTCTATCATCTCTAGGTCCTGGGAAACTTGATAAAATGCATAAACGATACTGGATTTTTTTTTAAATTATTATTATTACTTGTTCCTACATCTTTGAAAAGCTTGAAATCCTAGAAGCTCCAGAAAAAAGCGTTGTGACCAAGAGCCCCTTTCATCCTTTTTCCCTCAAAGTGAATTTGGGGTAATTATCTTAAGTGACTAAAGATTATTTTAATTTTTAATTTTTTAATTAAATTTTTAATGTTTAAATTTTTTCTTCAGATTTTTTTTTTGTAAATTACTGAACATGTATTATTCTTTTCACTAAATTTAAAACTCCACAGGACTAAGAGCCCTCAAAAGGGACTTTATCACAAGCACGATAGTGTTGGAACTAAAGTACCTCAACATCAGAGTTTTTCTGTAAGTTTTAGGTGGCCCCAGGCCCATGTACCCTGTAGGCCAGCCTGCCTATGCATGTTCCTCGCATGGAAAGGGAAGCCGAAGGATAATGCCTTCGAGTCTTCGGAAAGCCAAGAGAAAGCAGATCCGTGGTTCTTTACTCTTAAGGCACAGTAACCCTGCCCACTAATAAAATGCAATCCCCTGGATCTTGGGCCCTACTTGATCAGAATTGCCTCTCGGTCCCAGTCGCTGAGGAAAGTTTGTCAGAGACTCCTGTTCTACAGCTTTCAGTGTTTTCTGAATCTGGGCTCCCTCTTGAGGCCTCATAGTAGCTTATTGTCAAGATCTCTCTAGTCCCCTCGTAAGATTGTTTGGGTCCTGGTCACCTTCCCGACCTCATAACCTCTGAACCCCCGTACCCTACCCCCACTTTGAGAAAGTTGGAGGGAAATTTGACATTGTCAAGACATCCAGGTGTGTAACTTTATATTCTACAAAACTACTAGTCTGTGAGAGATTGGAAATTTTTAAAAACTTGGCCTTCATCACATATAACTAAGACACCTGGACTAGAGAGAAGAAAATTGTGTTCTATCCTGCCTCCCCTGGAGGGGAGGGAGATAGACCTCTTTTCTCCATGGCCTGAGATGACCATGTGGGGAGCAGAAGGATTTGCCCTAGCAGGTGAGTCTTTAAATATAACCTTATCAGGAATAGAGAGCATTTATAGAACTTCACAGAAAAGAGAAAGAATGACTCTCCAAAGGGACTTGTAGTCCTAAAAAGAAAATCATTTGACAATTTATATCAAATATATTGACTGTTTTTCCATGTGACAAAATTAACTCTTCCTGAAACATTATGTAGGTTGGAGATTATGGCCCAATGTGGGTTTATCCTACCTCTACATTTGACTGTGTGGTAGCAGATCCCAGGAAAGGCTCCAAAATGTATGGTCTGAAGAGCTACATTGAATATCAGTTAACACCTACGGTAAGTATCTAAATTATCAAAAATAGATTTGTGCTTGCATTCCTAGCTAAAATTTGCTTTTTTCTTCATTGTCCATAGTTGGCATTGGTAATGTTTTCTTCTCTTTCCCTTGTCTTGTAGAACACTAATCGATCCGTAAACCACAGGTATAAGCACTTTGACTGGTTATATGAACGTCTCCTGGTTAAGTTTGGGTCAGCCATTCCAATCCCTTCTCTTCCAGATAAGCAAGTCACAGGTGAGTGCACGTGATACTCAGGATAACAAATAACAAGACAGTTGATAGAGCATCTTTCCTCATGTGAATCAGTAGTGACATTTTCCATCTTCTAGAAGAACAAAATGTTTGAGTTTAGAAACAGTGGCTAAATACTATAAATCTATATATACTGTACATGTATTTGGAAATTACCTAAACACCTAATGAGAATGCTTCATAAAATTTTCTATCAGAGTTCTTGTATATGTATCTTAAGTTCTAGCGAACTCATTGTGTCCTTGTTGCTACTTGATTGCCTATAAAAGAAATGTGTGAATTTTTTAAATGTGAAAAGTGACACCTGAAAAAATAGAAATGATCCAGATAGCCTGGAATGGAAATAAAAATGTATGATCCAAATGATGTAAACATGTCATGCAGTCTAGCCATGTTGTTTTCGTGGAAGCATCAGAAGCCACAGGGTCTCTAAGTATTAACTTAAGATGTTGCCAAGTTCTCCACTCAATTATTTTGGTGACTATTAATATTTCAGTGTTTTTGTTTATCATTATTACCCTGTTCCATGTATTTAGGGTGTCCTATTTCCCCTGCTTCCCCTGCCTCAAATGATTTTCTGGTAGATAATTCACAGTGCTACCAAAGCCGTTTGTAAATATGCAGTCAGAGAGTATTTGTTTCTGTCTACTTTGAGAACTGTCACTGTTTTGTTTTGTTTTACATCTTTAGCCTAGTATAGAGCCTGGAATATCAGTACTCAGAACTCAGTGTGTTTGTCTTGGAATAAAAGTGTGTAAAGAGGGATCCCTGGGTGGCGCAGCGGTTTGGCGCCTGCCTTTGGCCCAGGGCCCGATCCTGGAGACCCGGGATCGAGTCCCACGTCGGGCTCCCGGTGCATGGGGCCTGCTTCTCCCTCTGGCTGTGTCTCTGCCTCTCTCTCTCTCTCTGTGTGTGTGACTATCATAAATAAAAAAAAAAAAAAAAAAAAAAAAAAGTGTGTAAAGAAGCTGAGCTTTACTGAAGATTAGAAAGAGTTTTAATATGTAGCTAGAAAATTTGCAACTAAGTGAAACTAGTAAGTATAGAAAGGAAAGAATCAAAGATGAGACTAAGGCTTACAGAGGTCAGCACTAGAGAGGCCTCAAGACCTCAAAAGGCTGACCTGAACTCAGTTGGAGGAGGTGTGGAATGCATGAAGGAAGGCTTCTTTCCTGGGGGTCAGGGAAGATGGAGAGGGCTTAGTCCTCGCTCAGCAAGAGTAAGATGCAGGTAGTTCAGAGAGGGTGGGGAATTCGGCGGCCAGATGCTTTCAGTTTGGGGAGGCGGGGCACGGGTGTCCCTGCCAACCAGATGTCACGGCTCATGCTCTGCTCAACACCGCTGGCTCAGGAATTGGAATCTGACTCCAGAGCTTGCTCTGTTAAACTCACAAGATGTGCATCAACTAGTCCTTAGCTGGAATGAGTTACCCTAGGATAAGAAAGTTATTATTCTCCTTAGAACTTTACTTTGTGCTTTACTTTGTTGTACGCTTAGGCTTCTCTGAAATTTTTTGAGGAGATGGAATTTTGCTTTTTAAAGACGTTGTTTTGATTGTGTCTTTTTTTTTTTCTGAAAACTTTTCAAAAATTTCAAATTGTGCATAGGAGAGTGGAGAGTGAGGCTGTGTTGCCAGATGGATCATGTGTTGTGGCCATCATCTGGGCAGAGCCAGAGCAGCTGATTGAAGGCCACAGAAGGGCAGCCAGGTGGTGTAGATGGATCGCTGCCCCCTTCCACCCAGAGGTGTCCTCAGGCCCCCAGTTCTGGGCCCAGCTCAGATAGTCACTGTTGCTCCTCTTGGTCATCCTTATTGTTTGAAATCACGGCTTTCCTTTTACAAATTTATGTCCATGAAAAGTTTGGTTCTGCCTTTCTCCTTGCTTTCAAATTTCAGTCTGTTTCCTGAATTTTATACTATCCTTTATCAACTTGATTAGCACAACAGGTGCTTTGTAGTAGCTAAATAAACAGACTCATTAGCTATTTGGGGGCTGTAGGGATTCCTCCTATCTTTTAGACTTTAATACATTGTTCGTTCTGAATCTAAATAACTCAGTGCTGTTTTAAAGCATCATGGAGTCACAGTTCTCCACCCCCATACCAAGGTTTGGTTTTTTAAAGTGCAGGCCCGAAGCCAGGGGGATGTCCTAGAAAAGCAAGAAAGCAACAGCCGCTCGGTCTGAAGAAAGTTGAGCTTTGATTCACTGACTGGGATATGTGCCGAGGAAACCGAAAAGCACAGAAGCCACTTTATTTCTCCTCTCTCTCGTTTGCCTCCTGCCTGTGGTCTCCACAAGATCATTATTATATAAACTCGCCTCTCACTTACATCCTGGAGAAAAGAAACAGGAATGCCAAGTAGATGATGTCATGATATTTCTGTGGACTTGATAATCAATCTCTGAGAAACTTACAGCAAGTGCTTTTTATTTGTTGATAGATCTTCTTCATTGTGAAATAATATTGGATGAATCTGGTTTTATTCATGGGTGCCAGACTGGTACTCTCCCATCCTTGGTGAAAACCTAAGGTTCATTGAAAGTGGGGAATTAGAAATCTCTCTCCCCTAACCTTCTTTCTAGTTCTCTGGAACCTGGTAGGAAAATCCTGACATGTACAAAATAACATCTAAAGTCAGAGTTCAGAATAAACCAGGAATGTCAGAAAATTTTTCAGGAGGAATAAGAATCACTAATAATTAGTTAATTTTGGTCCATGAGTACGTTATAAACTCTTTGTATAACTCACTTTCTCCTAATAGAGAATTCAGTGTAAGCCAGGTTGATGCTGACTTACTGGGTCTTTTTTGCCCAGGAGGTGAGTCAACTTCTTTCCTAGGGCTCAGACTTTGTTTCTTCATAGTTTAAGCTTCTGTAGCACTTAATCTGTACTCCTAATAAGTGCAAAATTTGAAGTGTTTTATTATATAGGAAGTGTCCAGACCCATCATGCTGTTCAAGTGACACCTCTTAGGTAAGGAGTTTTTGCTACATGGATCTGTAATGCTTTTCCCTTTAAAAGAAATTTGTGCTTATTTGTACTTGTAATTTCTAAAGGAAAGGCCATGGCTGCACTTTTAAAAGTTTATTTGTAAACCTCTGAACAGTAAATTCACTCCTTTTGGTGTATAGTTTTAAGAATTTTGACAACTACCACTGCAGTCTTATAACCACAACTATATTCAAGGGACAAGGCAAGGCGTCCCATCACTTCCTCAAATTCCCTTGAGCTGCCCTTTTATATTCAACCCCAGCCCCTAGTTCTAACCCATGACAACACTGATGTGTTGTCTCCATATTTTTACCTTTTCCAGAATATCGTTATAAATGGAAGCATTTAGACATGCCTCAGGAAGCAAGAAAAATCTCAAACAACCTAACCTTATGCCTAAAGGACTAGAAAAAGAAGAGCAAACAAAGCACAAAACCAGCAGAAAAAAGAAGTAATATAGAGCAGATATAAATAAAATAGAAACTAAAAAAAACAAACAAACAGTAGAATGGATCAACGAAACCAAGAACTGGTCTGTCCTATCCCCCGCCTCCCCTCCTCGCCATAAAAACGGAAGCATACAGTGTGTAGTCCTCTGATTCTGGCTTCTCTCACTCGACAGTATGCATTTTGTTTATCCATTCACTCCTTGAAAGACATTTGGGTTTCCAGTCTGGGACATTTATAAATCAAGCTGCTAGAAACATTTACATAAAAGTTTTTATACAAGTGTAAGTTATCATTTCTCTTTGGTGAATGAATACCTAAGGGTGGAATGACTAGATCATTTGGTGGATGTATGTTTCATGTTTAAGAAATTGCCAAACTGTTCCAAAGCAGCTGGATCCCACCAGCAGAGGATGAGGCTGGTACCAGGGGCTCCACATCCCTACTTCCACTTTGGATAGTGTCAGTTTTCCTCTATTTTAACATGTCTACTAAATATGTAGTGGTACCTCATCATGGTTTTAACTTGCATTTCCCGTATTGAGCATCTTTGCCTGTGCTCATTTCCCTTCCATATATTTTCTTTGGTGAAGAGTTTGTTTAAATCTTTTGCCCATTTCTTATTAGGTTGTTTTGAGAAATCTTTATATTCTGGAAACAAGTCCTCTGTCAAATAAGGTGATTTGCAAATAATTTGTCCTGAGCATGGCTTGTCTTTCATTCAACAGTGTCTTTCTCATAACAGAAGCTTCTCATGAAGTTCAAATTACCAATTGTTTCTTTCATGGATTGTGTTTTAGACATCATGATGAAAACCTCATTACCTAACCCAAGTGCACAGTAATATTTTCTCCAGAAAGTTTTGTAGTTTTAGATGAATTTCAAGTTAGTGTTTGTATAAGATGTGACTGTGATAAGGCAGAAGTTTATGTTATGCACCTGGGCATCAAGTAGTTCACTGTTGAAAAGTGTTCTTTTTCTGTTGAATTTCCTTTACATCTTGTCAAAAATCAATTGAACATATTTGTGTGGTTTTATTTCTGGACTGTATTTTGTTCTCTTGATTTGTGTGTCCATCCTAATGCCGACACCCCACTATCTTGAATTAGTGTAACTTTATAGTAAATCTTTAAATCACATAGTATAAATTCTCTAATTTGGTTCTTTTTCAGAATAACTTTGGACTATTTTTCTTTTGCCTTTCCAAATAAATTTGACTCAATTTGTAGATATCTAGAATTAATCATGCTGGGACTGTGATTGGTATACATACAGTTAGTAATTGTTATATCTCCCTGATGTTGTGACTCTTTTATAATTATGAAATGTGTCCTTTTGTGTCTAGTAAAATTCCTGTGCTGAAATCTATTTTGTTGGGTTTTTTTTTTAAGATTTTATTTATTTTTTCATGAGAGACACACAGAGAGAGAGGCAGAGACATAGAGAGGAGCAGGCTCCATGCAGGGAGCCCGATGTGGGACTCAATCCCGGGATGCCAGGATCCCGCCCTGAGCCAAAGGCAGACGCTTAATCACTGAGCCACCCAGGTGTCCCTAAAATCTATTTTGAATGATGTTAATATAGTCACCCCAGTTCTCTTATGGTTGCTGTTTGCAAGACCTATCTTTTACCATCTTTTACTTCAGTCTGTTGCTGTCTTCGAATCTGCATCTCCTGTTGACAACATTATTGGAGCTTGCTTTTTTTTTTTTTATCACATCTGGCAACCTCTGCATTTTGATTAGAGTTTTTGGACCATTCATATTTAATCATTATTGACTCAGATTTAAGTTTGCCATTTTGACATTGACTATTGATCTCTTCCTCCCTTACTGCCTTTCTTTTGTGTGAAATATTTTGTAATGTGCTGTTTTAATTCCTCTCATTTTTCCTCTAAATTTTATTTTTGTAAAGATTTTATTTATTTATTCATAGAGAGAAAGAGGCAGAGACACAGGCAGAGGGAGAAGCAGGCTCCATGCAGGGAGCCCGAAGTGGGACTCAGTCCCCGGTCTCCAGGATCACACCCCGGGCTGCAGGTGGCTCTAAACCACTGCACCACCAGGGCTGCCCATTCCTCTAAATTTTAAAAATTATATTCTTAGCGGTTGCCTCAGTATGCATCTTTCTATAATATCACAGCATACTTCATATGAATACTCAATTCTAGTAAAATTGATAGAAACTTTTCTCCAGTATAGCTCTGGTTCCCTCTCTCTGTTTATGTACTGTCATCTTACATTTTATATCTATATCTGTTATAAACCCAACAATATGGTATAATAATTACTGCTTTCTACAGTCATATCTCTTAAAGAAGAGAAGAAGTTGGAAAAAAATACATATTTTATGTTAACCCACATATTTGTAGTGCTCTTCATTTCTCTCTGTGAATTTGGGTAATTTCCTTTTAGCCTGAGGTAGTATTTTTTTAGCACAAGGGACTTCCTCTAATATTTCTGTAATACAGGTTTGTTGTATATGTAATACAGATTTGCTATATATATTATATATAATATAGGTTTGCTATATATATATATATATATATATATATAATTAGTTTGCTCATCTTTGTATGGGAATGTCTTTGTTTTGATTTTTGAAGGATAGGTGTGCTGATTGTAGAATTTTCATGGCTGACAGTTTTCCTTTCAGCATGGTGAATATGTCTTTCCATTGCTCCTGACCTCCATTGTTATCAGATGACAAGTGCATCTATTCCACTGATTACATACACACACACACACACACACACACACCACTACCACCACCACCACCACCACACATCATGAGGCATTTTTCACTTGCTGCTGTCAAGATTTCATTTCTGTCTTTCAGCAGTTTGATTCTGCTGTATCTTGGTGTGGATATCTTCATATTTATCTTATCCAGGTTGAGCTTCTGGAAATCAGATTATAGGTTTCCATCAAATTTGAGAAACTTTCCTCTATTATTTCTTCAAATATTTTTTCTTCTTCTTTCTCCCTTCTCCTCTGGGGACTCTCATTACCAATGTATTGGTATGCTTTATTTTCTGAGACCCATTCATGATACTTCCAGTTTTTTCTCTCTATTCTTCATATTAGATCACTTCTGTTCATCTTTTTTCAGATTCATGGATTCTTCTGCAATCTTGAATCTGCATTTGAACCCTTAGAGTGAATTTTTAATTTCAGTTATTTTCAACTCCAAATTTTTCATTTTAATTTTTAATAAGTTCTTGAGAATCTTTGTTTTAATTCCATGTCATATTTGCCTTTACATTTTTAAATATAACTTCCTTTAGTTATTTGAGTATATTTCTAGAAGCTGCTTTGTTTGCTAAATTCAACATCCAGATACACTTAGAGATAGTTTCTGTTGACTACTTTTTTGTTGGTATGGGTCATACCTTGCAATTTCTCTCTATCTCTCTTGATTTTTTGTTGAAAACTGAACATTTTAGGGAATCAATTTTAGCAATCTTGATTCTGATTTTTCTTCTCTGAAGGTTGTTATTTCTATTTTATGTTTATTTGTTTGATAAGTAACTTGCTTAGGGTAAATCTCTGAAATCTCTCTCCCCTGAAGTTCAATTATTTTTGTATTTTTTTCTTTTAACTTTGGCTTCCTGGGGTTCACCCTTGCATCTATGTAGATTAGTGGGAAGCCTGCCTGAAGCCAGTTAGGCTTCTGTCCTGTGCTGATGGATCTTCGTGTGGAGAGGGGACTGCATTCAAAGCTCAGATAATTTTCAAGTTGGCTACCCTGGCTTTTTGCTTTTTTGTGGGCCTTTTTGTGTCTCCTTTACAAGTGTGTGCAACCTCAGAGCTGGCCAGGTGTGTGTGCCTGGCTTGGATCCCCTCTGGCCTCCACTGTTTCTGCACACAGCTTCAGCCTGGAATATGCTTGACCCAACCATGCAACCTTGGCTAGTGGAACCACTGGCACTTTATCTTGACCAGACTCTGGATTGTCACTGCCGCCACCACCAAGCATGGGCATGTCCCACCACTCCAGGTCAAGCCAGCCTTCTACCTCACCAGGGAACCTGAAGCAGCCAGTCTTCACAGCCTGTTCTACACTGGTAGAGCTTCCATGTCAGCCGAGGAGAGGGTGGGGAGGCACAGGGGCAGTGGGAGGAGATGGGAGCAGCCTCATGCCAGACAGAACGCTGCAGATTTCCACGGTTCTTGCATAAAGTTTAGCAGTTTTGCAAGTATAAACAATTCTCAGATGGCTGTGTGCCTTTGGTTGATTTCCAGAGCACTTATTTTTGGTGGGTTCTGTCCAGCTTTATAATTGTTTTGGGGGGATGGGAATAGCTGATTGCCTCACTCAACTGTAGCTGGAACTTTCATCTCCAGAAGCCTTTTAACTACTAGTGGTTTTATTTGGTAAGCTTATAAAAATGGTCAGTGTTCATTTGATGTTTGGTATGTCAGATTTGTTAAGCTGAATTTCTGCTCTTAAAATAGAAATATCACTCATTAAGCTATGTTTTAGAATGGTCATAAGTTCTGAGATAGTAGCTTTTACTACTGCATTCATGGAAAAATTGCTTTTTCTATTTTTGGCTTTAATTTTTAAAACCAGATGGAATAAGAACCACCGTCCTGAATTACTTTTCAAAAATAGTCAATTTGTTTGTGTTTTTGAGATTTAATTAAAAACGTTTGGACACGTTTTTATAAATAGAGAAATTTTATGCACTTTGTAAGACATTACATTGTATTTTCTTTCCCCTTTCCTGCCCATAGGGCTTCATACGGTCACACAGAACTGGCATAGTCTTAGTTTTATCAGACAGAGAAAGTTGTTCATACCCAGATAAGATTTGCTTTTAAATTTGTTGAGAGCTTAGGGATCCTTGAGGAAAATCGCATTTTGCAGCTGTGATTTTTCTTGTCACAATTAAAAAGTTTATTAGCTTGTTCAATCAGAATCGTTGTAAACTAAAACATCTGTCGTATCTTTCCCATGGTTCCCTGAAGCATTTGCTGTGTTGCAGCTTGTTTGTAAGTTAGTGAAAAACTGCCATGGTCTTTTACCTTTTACTGAATGACTTTCTCCCAAGTACCCGCTGAGACAAACATCTTCGTTTGTGGTGACGACAATTCTCATTATACACCGCATCTTAAGTCACTCTTGTTGTGCACCTTGCAGGTCGCTTTGAAGAAGAATTTATCAAAATGCGCATGGAGAGACTCCAGGCGTGGATGACCAGGATGTGTCGTCACCCAGTAATCTCAGAAAGTGAGCTTTTCCAGCAATTTCTAAATTTCCGAGATGAAAAGGTAGGACCTTTTATTGTGATAGTCTCAGGTCATATTGAGAATTATTACGTTTGCATCAATTTTATGTCTGAAAGTTAATAGGATGTTGGTTAGCTATTTCTTATTCCCTCCAAAGACCACGAGGGGCAGAACCCTAGATCCTAACCAGAGGAAATTAGTCCTGCTCTGTGGAAGAACTGCTCGCCAGAATGGTCTTCCATAAACTTGGAATAGAGTGGCCCAGAGTGGGCAGGAGGTGAAGGATATGATAAGGTGAGGAATGTTTTTCCCCAAGATGCTTTTAAAGATAGGAAAGGCCCCAAACAGTGCAGAGTATTTTAGTCTCATGAAGTCAGGGAAGTAGAGTGAATGAGTTCTTAAGATTCCGTTTTGACCTTGCAGTGTGATAATGTTATGAAAAGAAAAGTAGATTCAGAGGTAGACCATCCTTCTCAAAACCAAGTCATTTTTCCAGAACTGCAGTCCCAAGTCCACAGTAATGAATGCCAGTCTCTCTTTGTCCCCGTGGATAGTCATTCTGCCAGTGGCCATGTGTTCTTTGTTGAGAATCAAGAAAACATTGGCTGTCTGACATCTCATTATTGTCCTGCTTTGGAAACAGTTTTCTCTCTCTCAATAAGCTTTTACTCTATATTGTATCTTTTTATTCTGTAAAAAAGATGTTTTCTCCATCTTTCTCTTATAACAAATATTACATATCTTAGAAAACAATGCAGAGAATAAAAGCATGAGTCAGCTCAGATGCCAACAGCAGATATGAAATACATTACAATCCTAGAAAAAAGTCATGACTTATTTTCAAGTTTATTTAAATGCTAGAATATTACATACTTTGTTAGAACTTTCAGAGATTTACTCGCTAAACTGCTTTATAGTACTTTCCCCTTGTTAATGTGAACACATTTATAATAAACATAAATAATCAGGCACTGTATGTGTTTACAGACATAGGCATACACTTAGTATAAATATTTGGGCCTTATTCTCAGTTACTGCTTATTTCTAGAATTGGCAGGCTCATTCATTTCAATGTGTTGCATGTAACCAGGCCAGGAGCTAGAAAACGTGGAGGTGCTTCAACAATTTTTGTAGAGATCGCAGGTCTAGTCCTACAAGCTGCCCTGGAAAACTCTGATTTCTCTGGTGAGATGTAGTGATTCATTCACAATATGCCCTGTAACCATAGAGTGGTGAAACTGGGTTCTTCGAGTGAGTTCTGTCCATCAGTTTTGTTACTCTTTAGACACAAAAACTATAAGGCATCCCCTCCCAAGTCGCCTTAACTGTTACCCACAGGACTTTAACAAAAGTCCTGATTTTACAAAGATTTGATTTAGAAAGCACTTCTAAAAGTTGTGTTTTATACAGAATATTGTAATTAAAAATAATAATAAATCTAGACACTGGGAACTTTGGATGGATTTGATATAATAGGAAAAAGAAAGAACTTGGATTCAGGGTGCCTGGGCTCTGCTTCTAGCCCCTTCTGTGATCTTGGCCACAGTTTCCTCACCTGCTAAATGACAGTGTAAAACTAGATAATCAGTAAAAGCTATGATTCTTTGGCCAGCAGTAGCTTGTGTAGATGGATGGACATAGAAGACCTACAGAAAAATTACTAGAAATAAGTGGTTAGTAAGATAACTGGATATATAAGACTTTACATATTTACATACCAGCAGTAAACACAGAAGGAAAGTCTATAAAAAACTATCACAATAACATAAAAATATATCTGGGAATAAGTACAAGATAATGTACCCAAAAACTCTACATAAAAAACTATGAAACATTTTTGACAGAAATAAAAGAAAAACCCAGCTAAGTGTTCCAATACTGTTTCATGGATTGAGGAACAGAAAAGATGCTATCCATGTGGAAAATCAGAGCACTAAGAAAGCCAAGGTGCTCTTGAAAATGAAGGAAGTGGGAAGAGGGCTTTATTGGATATTGAGACTTGTTACAAAGCTAAAATAATTTTAAAAGCATGATATTGGCATAAGGAGAGACAAACAGACCAGTAGAACAGAACAGAGTGGACACTTGATTTATGGCAAAGATGGTGCTAAGTACAGTGGGAATAGGACAGTCTTTCCAGTGAATGATGTTGGGTCAGTTTGGTGGTGTCATTAGGGAAAAATGAAGTCTGGTTACCACCTCATAGCAGTCTACTATTGATTTCATTAGATTTGATACTGGAATTGTGGTTATGTTTTTAAAACACAGCTTTATCTATTAAAGATATTTATAGGTGAAATGACACTATGTTTGGGACTTCCAATAAAATCAGCAAGAAGAAAATAGAAGGTAGAAAGGAGGAGAATAGAAAAACCAAGACTGCAAAATGTTGATACCTGTTACAACTCAGTCTGAGCGGGGCTTAGACTTTTCTCTGTACTTCTGTATGTATTTGAAAGTTTCCATTGTGTAAAGTTGTTGTTGTTGTTGTTGTTGTTTTAATCAGTTCCATGGAGCACCTGGGTGGTTCAGTGAAGCATCTGCCTTCAGCTTAGGTCATAATCTCAGGGTCCTGGGATCAAGCCCTAGCTCAGGCTCTGTCCTGAGCAGGGAATCTGCTTCTCCCTCTCTCTCTGCTCTGCCCCCTGCTCATGCACACTCCCTTTTCTCTCTCTCTTTCTCTCTCTCTCTCTCATTCTCTGAAATAAATAAATAAAATCTTTTTAAAAAATCAGCTCCAGGCGATTTGCAAATCTAATGTGAAAGGCAACACAGTAAAGCTTCTAAGAAGGTAACATAAGGGAATATCTTCATACTCCCAAGGTAGGAAAGGATTTCTGAAATAGGACACAAAAATGATTAATCACACAGGAAGAAGCTGATAAATTAGACTATATTATCATTAAGAACTGCTCTGTATCAAAAGAAGCCTTTAAAAGTGAAAAACAAGCTAAAGATCTGAACGTATATAAGCAACAAAGGGCTGCATTTTGGAATATATGAAAACCCATAGAAATCTGTAAGAAAGATAACCCAGTAGAAAAAGAGATTTGATAAGGTACTTCACAAAAGGAAGTATCTCAGTAATCCACAAATGTGTAGGACAGTGCTTAACCTCATTAGTCATCAAGCAAATGCCAATTAAAACTACAGTGAATACAAGTGCTCATGTCCCCAAATGACTATAATTAGAAAGACTGACCAAACGAAGCTCTTGTTGGACTGAGGAGCTTTCTTCACACACTGCCACTGGGTGTGGAAATGGGTAAGACCAGTTTGGAAAGCCATCTGGCATTACCTGCTAAATTTGAACATTTTCCACCCTAGGGGTGTACCTGACCCGTGGGTGCCCACGTGTACCAGGAGATGTGTACGTAGCAGCTTTACTCGTCATCTGGGGGGCCTGGGGTGGCTGCTAGTGGGAGGATGAAGAAATAAACTGGGGAGTAATCATACAGTGGAACATTGTGCCACAATGGAATCGATGCATGGCAGCTCTGATAACACTGTGGATGTAGCTCGTAAGCACAGGCTTAGCACAGGAAGCCAGACACAAAAGCATACGTATATACCTGGTCTTTTTGGTTCAAAAAACTAGTAGACCCCCTGATGAGGGACTTGTGCTTAGATGGTAAGACTTGAAAGGAAAGTGATGAACCTGGAACCACTAAAGAAAGGATAATGTGTTACTTGTTCTCGGAGTGAACAGGGGGCGGGGGGGGGAGGGGGCGGTGGGATGGGACACATGGGGGCTTCTGGAATGCCGGCTTCTTTCTCTTGGCCTTGGGGTAGTTCACACACATACTCACTTTGTGAGAATTTGTTGCTGTGTATTATTGCTTTGGGCACTTTTCTGTGTGTATATAGATATATTTGTAGGTATATCTCGCAAAAATATGTTTTAAAAAAATAGCTCATAAGACTGGTTCCTGTCTTGTGTTTTTTAAGAAAACATTTAACCTAAAACATTGAGGCACTTGGTCAGGATTCCTGAGGGTGCTTATGTTCACTGTGTTACGTTGCTATACATGGGGAAGGGGCAGTGATGGAACCACCTTACTCTGAGGGCTGAGGGCTCCCAGGGACCCCTCCGTGTGTTGGCACTGTTCGTGCACCGAAATTACATTTGGGATGTAGAGACATCCCACGGTGCCAAGGGCAACAGCACGGGAGCTGCTGCCAAAAATTAGACATAGTCCATTGCTGAGCCAGTTGCATTAGGGAATTTTGAAAGACTATTTTGACACTGCTCCCCCCTGTAACATTATGATGTTCTTATTTGCAGGAATGGAAAAGTGGGAAGAGAAAGGCCGAGAAAGATGAGCTGGTGGGAGTTATGATATTTTCCACCATGGAACCAGAAGCACCTGACTTGGACCTACTAGAAATGTAAGAGATATTGTCACACTTCCCTTTTTCCCAACCTGTGTCCACCTCCTGTGCTGACAGGCCTTGGCCGGTGTCACTGACCTCAGCAGAGGTTCAGGGTGTTGAGCTAGACCACATGAAGGTGTGAGGGCCGTGGTCAGGTGGTCAGGAAAGCCTCACTTGTGCAGGAGAGCGCTTTCTAGCCATAACATCAGGTGGAAGACGGCTTCCTTTGTACCTTCAAGTCAGTGATTTCCTATCTGGCATAGTGGTTTCTAATCATTTCTAATAAAGAATGATAAAACAAAATGGCATAGAGCACACCCATGTAATATTCAACAAAGCAGAAATCTCTGAATATTGTCTTGAAGGAAGGGAATCTCTAGCCTGCATTTTTGTGTTATATTTTTTAATTTGTTTTTTTAATTATGTAATTTTTTTAAGGTAGGCTTTGTTGAAAATCAAGTAGTTCCTTTTCTATTTAAAGGCCAACAAGAAATCATGGGGATTTGAATTTTTTTTCTTATAGAATTATCACTTATGTGTTACCAAACGTAGAGACAAGAAAAAAAAAACCACAATCTTGTAACTACCCAAAGAGAAAAAAATCAATGCTAATATGTTGGCCTAGGTCTATATAGTCTTCTGAAACATCATCTGCACAGATATAGCTAAGGGAAAAATTGTTTAAACAAAAAAGACCTCATGCTATGCATTGTCTTATGATCTGGAGGGTTTTTTTTTTTTTTTCCATTTAACATGATTACTGGGGTGAGTTTTCAGGTTGGTACTTTTTACATCCTCAAAGAACCAAAGATGTTCAGAATCACTTAACTGGTTGTGTATCTAGGTTACCTTATCTGATTTGTTAAAGTACTTGTTAAAATGAATGAAGAACCACTGGGTACCTCCACTGATAGAATTCCACTCAGATATTCAAGAAATCATGATTTTGTTTACTTCAGAATAATTTTAGTTAAAATTCACAGGGAATTGAAGGAAGAAGGAAAGCAGAGTTAAACATTTAAATGGCAAATTTTTAATTCTTTAAAATTCTGTTGGTTTTTTTTAAGATTTTATTTATTTATTTGAGAGAGAGCAAACATAACCAGAAGGGAGGGGCAGAGGGGGAAGGACAAGCAGACTCCCTGAAACAAGAGATTTGGGATCATGACCTAAACCAAAGGCAGATACTTAATCAGCTGAACCACCGAGGTGCCCCTTGATTCAGATTTCTAAAGAAGGGGCACCTGGCTGACTCAGTCCATTAAGTACCTGTCTTCGGCTCAGGTCATGATCCCAGATCCTGGGATGGCCCTATATCGGGCTCCCTGCCCCATGGGGAGCCTGCTTCTCCCTCTCCCTCTCCTTGCTGCTGTCCCTGCTTCTGTGTTCTTCTCTGTCAAATAAATAAATAAAATCTTAAAATAAAATGAAATAAAAATCTGAATCAAGCCTGGTGAGAGCAACTATTACAATGCAAGAAAACAAATACCCGTGATTATGTTTAGCGTGAGTTGATTTTTCTCCTCCTGCATGTCACACTGTTGGACCATTTGGTAGCAAAGTCAAGGACATGCCTTCTTGTGTTTTTGCCCCACAGAGAACAGAAGTGTGATGCTGTTGGTAAATTCACCAAAGCCATGGACGATGGTGTGAAGGAGCTGCTGACCGTGGGGCAGGAGCACTGGAAGCGGTGCACAGGGCGTAAGTCCATCCTCACGGCAGCTCTGGGCTTTCATGGGTGGCAGTACAGGCTCAGTGCTCTGACCTTTACCACCCCGAGGAGCTGTCAGTCTAGTGAACTCCAGTAATATCATACCTAGAGCCCTTTGGTGAACCTCACTCATCAGCCCTACTTAGCAGAAAGTTGACTCCAACAAAGCCAGTTCAAGAGCTCTCACAAGACACCATGTTCCCTTAAATGCTTTCTAGTTCTTTGGGGTTTATAATCTATGGACAGTTCATCATTTCCGTGTGTTTAGAGAGGACTTGTTATTTTTGATCTCATGATTTCGTGTTCTCATCTTTATCCATTTGGTAAGGTGTTATATACGAAATATTCGTCAACTTACAATGGGGCCGCATCCCTATTAGCCCATCCTAAATAGAAAATATCCTGAGTTGAAAATACATTCACTTTCACCTCACAGCTTAACCTGGCCTATGCCAAACACATTCAGGATGCTGACATCAGCCCGCAGTTGGACAAAACCATCTCCCACAAAGCCGATTTTATAGTGCAGTGTGGAATATCTCCTACTGTAGTGAAAGTGAGAAACAGAATGGCTGTACAGGTGCAAACTGGTTGTCAGCGTGTGGGTCACTTATCCCCGTGGTTGCCAGCTGCCCAGCATCACAGAGACAGTCCCCCCACAGACCTGCACCTGGGGACAAGATCCAAATTCAAAATTCCAAGGACAGTTTCTATTGAATGCCTATTGCTGTGGCACCACCATAAAGTTGGTAAATTGTTAAGTCAGGGGCCATCTGTACTTGCTACAGCCCTAACTTTTAGAAAGACCAGGATAGTTGGCTGTGGAAAACATGAGCTGGGACAGACCAAGAGTAGTGTGAGGAGAGGTGGCACTGCTAGCTGTGGCTTTCTGCCTCTTCTTTCCCTGTCATCAGGGACTTCTTATCCACCCACCACACACACCCCTTCCCTTTGTGTCTACACTATCATTCTCCAGAACTGTGTTTTCCTGTATTCCCTGGCACCATGCAGCCCTTGTGTCACATAGCCCAGGCTAGAAACAGTCCCTGTCGGCTGTGGGGATAACACCTGGTAGCTGTCCCCCCACCTCTGACGCTCTGTGGGCTTCAGAGGCCAGGTCACCGCTGCACAGCATTCACACGGTCTTTGAGGGCCATTGGTGTTCAGAAGTTTCCTCCCCTGCCCACCCATCCTGCCCTTATTGCCAGCCCAGCCTTCCGAGTCTCAGAGGGAAAACTGTGCCCTAGTTAGGGATTGTGCGTGTTATAATCCTAGAGAAAGCAGTGCAGCAAGTCCCTGACTGAGTACCCTAACCTAGTACTGAGGCTAGTAGGCTGGCCATAAGGCTGGTATCTAAGAATTTTCTGGCCTTCACCTTATACACCCTACAAGAGTACTTATATTCAGTTTTGTTATATTCAGTTATATTCAGTTTTGTTTTGTTTTTCTCTTAATAAAAATGGTTTCTGCTTTGAATTATAAAAATAATACATATCCACTTTTAAACTGATGTGCAGCATAGGAAGGAATTTCATGATTTATGAACATTTTTTAACAAGTGATGTTTTTCTTCAAATTTTATTTTTTCCCCTTATTTAGAAGTCAAAAAATAATTTTAATGCATAAGAAACTGAATGTGGAATGACTTGTGGGTGAATTATTAAGATAGCGTAGCCAAGTTAATAGCAATAGTAAGATCTCTCAAATCCAGACCTGAAATCCAAGCCTTATCAGGAGTTGGCAGGCTGTGCCCTGGAGGCCAAATCCGGCCTGCTGCCTATTTTTGTAAAAGTGGAACACAGCCCTGCCCGTTTATGTACGTACTGTCTGTGGCTACTTTCCTGTTACAGTGGTAGACTCAAGTACTTTACACAGAAACCCGTGGCTCCCCAAAGCTTGAAATATTTACTGTCTGGCCCTTTGCAGAGAAAAAAAGGCCCTGTTCACAGTGAATGACCCTGTACCACTCATGTAATATTTTATATCGACAAAAGGCACTTGTAGCAGTTTGCCAGCTGTTCCTGCTCGAGGGGCAGACACTGGGAGTAATAGCAGTTGCTCCTTTCTCATGGCAAAGAAATATGGTGTATCCCAAATATAGCACTAATTAAGCCCGAAATGGCCACGTATACAAATGCATCATTAGAAAACAAACCGACTGGCCGCCTTTGGTCACAGGGTATTAACGAACATAAATGGGAGTGATGCTTCTCTCAAATAGTGGTTTCATTGTAAAATAATTAATTTCAGCTGTAAGCTCTTATGAGGCTGTAAGAATAGCAAATCCTTTAACTCTGTATATTCTTTTAAAGCTATTCCCTATTTTTTAGAAATATTTTTAGTACAAATCTTACAATCAAAATTTTAAGGATCTTGCAAAAATTTGGGTTTAGGATTTCTTTCAGTCCCTAGGGCACCTGGGTGACTCAGTTAGTTGAACGTCCAACTCCTGGTCTCAGCTGGGGTCCTGGTCTTGGGGTTTGGGATTTGAGCCCTGAATTGGGCTCCATATTGGGCATGGAGGCTACTTAAGATTTAAAAAAAAAAAAGTTAAATCCTTTTATGTCTACATCTAGTCACCTTCATACCTTCATGTCCCATGTAACCTACCAGGTCAAATTTATGAAATAGAAGATATTGGTTTAAGGCTGCTCCCTTTTTGAGAGGTGGAGGAGTTTGAAACACTTGGTTTAAGATTTGATGTTAGGATCTTCTTTCTCCTTTTCTCTCAAAATAGAGTTTCTTAAAATTCCTAATCTCTAAAGTGAGAAATCTAGCACATAGTGCTGTCAAGCACATGGCAAATGTCTTTAACCTCATATATAGTTATAAAAGTTAAGCAAGTTATTAAAATTAAGCTAATATACTTTGAATTTGTGTTCCATGATTATTGCAGCTTATAGACCATATTTCAGATTTCTCTGAACTAGACTTTTTTAAAGAAACATTTGAATTTTTCTTCTTTAATACTGTACTAAGTCTTCAAGTGTAAGTAAGGCTTTCTTCTGAAAAGCAATAGATGTATCTAAGGGAACTATTTACAGATGCAAAGAAAATAGCCTAAGATACAGACTCTTTTCTAGAAAGTTCTCCAGAGTGACCCTAGAATGCTAGAATTTTATCACTAGAAGGACCCTCAGAGATTGCTTCATTAATCATATTATACAGATGAGAAAGCCAAAATCCTTCCTCCCTGGTCCTCTTGAGTCCTTCTGCCATATTTTTCTCCACACTTTGTTGCCTTCCACCTTGTTTTGTTTTGTTTTGCAAATAATCATTCATGCATACATAACAGTGGGGAAAGCAAGGTATTTGGAATCACAAGTGCCACATCCACCATTTTATTAGTCATATGACCCTGGACAAGTCAGTTCACTTCTCTGAGCCTTATTTTCCTAACCCATGGAACGGAGATGGTGTATCTGCACCCGGTGGAGGGGTTGTTGTGGTGATTAGATAGGATGGGGTACATGCAAGCACACTGTCAACTAGAAACCATCTTCCGGACGAATTCCCAGTCGCTTCTGTTTCATTCCATGGACAAAGATGTCAGCCAGGGTGGTAACTCATAATAATAGCACCTGCTACTAATTGAACAATTAATTAGTACAAAATTTTTATTGAAAAAAAATTCATTCATTTTGAAAAGCCAATAATTGGGGATCCCTGGGTGGCTCAGCGATTTCGCGCCTGCCTTTGGCCCAGGGCGCAATCCTGGAGTCCCGGGATCGAGTCCTGCGTCGGGCTCCTGGCATGGAGCCAGCTTCTCCCTGTGTCTCTGCCTCTCTCTCTCTCTCTTTCTATCATAAATAAATAAAAATAAATTTAAAAAAAAATAAAAAGCCAATAATTTTATTAAAGAATATAGAATATCTTGAATAACTTCAGATTTCTTTTATGATAAAAGTAATTACTTTTAGGAAATAGTCAGATCCCATTTCTTGTTTTCTCAGAGGACTAGTTAACAATGTATTCCTTTTTCCCTTTCAGCATTACCCAAGGAATATCAGAAGATAGGAAAAGCCTTGCAGAGTTTAGCAACAGTGTTTAGTTCCAGTGGTTATCAAGGTATGCCTGTATTTATTTACCCTTTGGGCCGCTGGTGTCTTGTGCAAAGCAGCCACCCCATTCAGGCTCTTGCATGCAAACAGAAACTCTTCAGCTAAGGACCCTTGTCACTGATACTTAGACTGACTAGACTGTTCCACTCAGGACTTCTGCAACCCCACCTTACTACTTGCGAGAAAAGCAGAGAGGGTGGTTATACTCTGTATTTTATTGCTAGCTTCTTGGTGTTCAGATACTGCTCCTCTGTTTTGCTAGAACAGGCAGCTATGGTAAATAACCCTGTGCCCTTGCTTTCGTCTCTCTGCCAAACTCAGAAGTCAAGTCTTCCTGTTACAAAGGCCATAATTCATCGAGGCCATTTGGAGGAAATGTTTGGACTAAGTAACAAATCCACGTTGCCCTATGTCTCTCTCCATGACCTATCATGATTTTCAGCATATTCCATACTGTATATCTGACCTGTCGAATCTTGAATTCATTGCACTTGTACATTGACAGCACTTGTGAGAACAGGCTGGCTGTTTTCCTTTACATTTTGGTTTACTTTTGCTTAGTTTGCTCTGTGGAGCCAGCAGGTAGGCAATGAAAGCATTTGTCAGGTGAGTGGCACTTACTAAGTTTGAGTGTGTCCAGTCACTTACAGAAGTGGGAGAACCGGTACTTTGGCCATAGTGCTTATTCTGATACCTAGGGGAAACAGGTCTGTGGACGTCAGAGTCTGAGTATTTTCAGGATCAAGAAATCAGTCTCTCACCAGAATGTAAGATGTGGAGCTCCCACATAGGAATATTTCTTTTTGTCCTGACTGAATCGTGTCTTATAATCCCAACTTTTAGATCAGATGGGAGTTTTGAGGATTAATCTGGCGCCCTCATTTTCAAGATGAGGGACATAGAACTGAAAAGATAAGCCTCCCAGCCAGGGTGCCACACAGGATTAATGGAGGGGCCAAGTCTAGGGCCACATCCATTGCTGAGGTGCTGGCAGGACTCTAAGAACACTCTCATCTTGACAGGATGAGAGCTTTTGTTCTGAAGATGCTGGACCCTGATCGTGTCCTTACAGGTCAGAGCTCACCTGAATCTGGGCCTTCCTTAAGCCCCCCCCCACCTCCCCGAGAGCTCTCTGTCCTCCAGCCCTGTCCTCAATTCCCACCATCACCTCTTAGTACTCAAAACCCCTGTGAGAGAACTAGCTCTGCATATGGGGCTCCCCCTGGTTCCAGTCCCTCACACCAGCTTACGTGCATCTGGTAAAAGCAGCGGTGCCTCCCATCCCAGCAAAATTCTTCTCCCTGAGGGAGGCACCTTTTCCCACCCAGCATGCCTCCAGCCTCAGCAGCTTGCCCAGGCTGCAAGGCTCAGCCCTTTCTGCACTGACTTCATTTGGATTTCCACATTCCCACAGTGCTTCAGTGACTGTAAGAAGTATGACGTTTTAGTTTTTTTGGTATTACTGCATTGAGAGCAAGAGCCTTGCCCTTGTCCCCATCCTAACTAGAAATGGAACTGCTCCAAGATTAGATTTTTAAGCCCAACCATGATCCTCCCAGTAGCATGGACCCAGACTTGAGGACTTCATTCGTTGAAGGTCAGATATGAAACTTAAAAATCATTCAGAACTAGACCACAGAATTTGTGAACTGCAATTCATTTGTTCTCCTAGTTGAATGTTAGGAGGGACAAATCACTCTTCACTAAATGTGGTACTCTTAGAGGGTGCAGATAATTGAACCAAAAGTCTTGAAAAGGGATCAGGGCAGTTGGTGATCTGGGAAATGGTTCCTAAAGACATTCTTTAGTAGCTTCACACTGTACATAAATCTTTCCATGTATTTCTCATCCTGTAAATTTAGGAGAATCTGCATACCTTCAAAATGATCAGCTTCTCTCCAGAGTTACATATCTGTATGATTTTGTTCCCAAGCAACCAGGCAGAAAGGTGGGATGGAGGGGCTATGGAGAGCTTAGGGGGATGCCCAGCAGGGTGAGACCCTCCTGGAGGGGAGACAGAGTACAAGATGACCCTTAAGGCCCTGTGCCTTCTCCACAGCACCCACCCGTTGTGATCCCCTCTACACCACGCCTCACAGAAGTGCTGCTTGTTTTCTTAATGTTTTCCCTGCTTAAAACCATCATTCAGTGCATCATCAAATATTCATATTGCAAATGACACTTTGTCAAGTATTAAAAGCACTCTGTGTAATAAGTTTTGTGTGGAATACCATTCAACTTAGTAGAGATCTTGTTTTCAAAGAACTGTTGGAGTCCCCACGGACTAGCTCTCCACCTTTCAGGGCAGATGAAAGTATATAGAGTTGCATACTGTGTCTTACCACATCTTCCTTTGCTTGGACGTACTGGTGTCTTGGAGCAGTGCTGCCCTCTTTGATCTTGCAATAATTTGGATGATTCCAGTTCCTAAGAATATCTCAGATTATGTTAACTATAACCCTCCATGTTCCCTCTGTGAGTACATAAACTCATACTGGAACAACACAGGGACTGTTAGCATGGCCTTCACACAGATCCATGAAGCACTTCCTGTTCTTATGGATTATCATGGAAGCATAATTGACAAAAATATTTAGATGGTTTTCTGTAGTGGAGAAGAAGAATGGGTATAGAAGCTAGACCTGTGGTTTTATCTTGTTTTATAGATTTTACTTTGGAATCATGGGAATGTTTTACATTTATGTTTGTTATTTTACATTTATTATTAGAAAGTAAATTTAAATCAAAACGTAAAAAATCTCTAAAAAGCAAAAGCAAAATAAATCACTTGATACATCAAGATGAAGGCATAACTATGCAGAGAAGAATTATTTCACGTCACCATCAAACATTGTATTTTGATTATGCATCCCTTGTAGTAGATGCCTTAAAGTCTAAAAGACTTCAAAAATCTTTTTTGTTTTCAGTAATCATATAGTTAGCAGTAAAATGTTAATATTGTTATTCTATAACTTCTAAAACTATCTTACATATTTGTAGAGTAAAGCAAATACGTGATATATTACCATTGTTAGGAACTAAGTTTTTTAAATGAAAGAGATAAGGATAAAAATCAAAAGTTTTAAAATACATGAAAAATCCTGAAGTCCTAAATTTGAATTGGAAATACTGATATGAGCTCATGGTTTTCCTCTTTAAAAAAAATACAATTTGCCTTGCTCTGTTCATTGAAAAGGCCTAGAAATATCCAATCCAGTAACGAGAAGCACCTCTAGCGCCACCCACAGGGGCATTGCTAAACACTGTTCCACCCAGATGAACCAGGCTCCAGATGCTGATGTGAAAAGCCTTCCACAGCCAGTAAAGAGAAAATTAAAGCATTAGTGAAAATAATTCTTTCTGTGCAATGAAGCATATCAAATATGTTTAAATCGAGATTTGCGATGATACTTTTTTAAAAAGTTAATCTGTTACCTTTAGGGGGATGGTTAGAGGATCAGCTTATTCTGAAAAACGGTAGAGAGAAAGAAGCATTTAATCTGCTTTTTCTCTTCCAATACCTCAGGGTAATCAGATAGTCAATAAAGGGAAGTTTTTCTTTATAAAAGTGCTTCAGGGCGCCTGGGTGGCTCAGTTAGTTAAACGTCTGCCTTCAACTCAAGTCATGATCCCAGAATCCTGGGATCAAACCCTGTGTCAGGCTCCCTGCTCAGCAGAGAGCCTACTTCTCCCGCTCCCTCTGTTATTACCTCTGCTGTGCTCATTCTCTGTCAAGTAAATAAATAAATAAAATCTTTTTTAAAAAATAGAAATGCTTCAGATCAAGAAGGAGTGATAGAAGTAGAATAGCAACACTTTGCAAACCTTTCCTAAAATGAGAGATTTAGATAGTACAGGAAACAGAGGACTGTATTATCACCACAGACACAGCAAAACCCAGACTGTGGGTACCAAGGCACCTGGTTTCTTCAATACCCCCAAAAAGAAATTTGCAAGAAAAAAGGGAGGAGAAAAAAACCTAAAGACTGAAGAAACACTTCAGCTCTCTACGATGTGGACTTTCTCTGAGTCCTGAAAGCAGCCAGCTTGATTCCAGACTCCAGATACCACTTACTGGATAATTCTATCAGGAGCAGTTACCTTGTCTCCAGTGTTGTGTTGATATTGTCCTTGCTTTTTAAAGAATGCTTATCTTGGGACAGCTTGGGTGGCTCAGTCAGTTAAGCAACTGCCTTCATTCAGTTCAGGTCATGACCCCAGAGTCCCTGCTCAGTGGGGAGTCTGCTTCTCTGCCCACTCCCTGCTCATGCTAGTTCGCGCTCTCTCTCGCGCTCTCTCTCTCTCTCAAATAGGTGAAATCTTAAACAAAACAAAACAGAAAAGAACTTAAAAGAAAGTGTGCTTATCTTTGAGGTCAAATTTATGGGTGCATTGTTACATGGCCAGTGAAAGGGGGACCTCAGGGGTGGACAGTATGGGTGCTGCAGAAAGACTGGCCATGAGTTGTTCACTGGGAAGCCAGGGGATGGGTAGATGGGAACTTGTTACCCTATCCTCTAGTTTTGAAAAGTATAGTGTTTTCTATAATAAGATTTTTAAGTAAAATACGCGAAGGGAAAATACATATGACCACTGATGTAGCTGTAATGATTTCCAGGCGAAACGGATCTCAACGCTGCCATCACTGAAGCAGGAAAGACTTATGAAGAAATTGCTGGTCTTGTGGCAGAGCAGGTATCCACAGAGACCCGTGTAGCTCCAGGGCACAGCAGCTGCTGTCCAATCCACATGTTCTTTCAATGTATTTTAAAACAAACTTTGCCAATAACTCTCCTCTTGTGTTCTCTGTATCTTTTGTTAATTGTATATGGTAATAGTGTTTCTTTGGTTAAGCTAAAGTGATGGATACATTTATTATCAAGAAATCTAAATGAATATCTTCCAGTGTCAATGGCTGGATCCATCCTCAGCCATCAGGGGTTGGAATGTTCTATCAGGAGCACCATTCATATCACCATTTAGACTCTTAGCTTGTCTGAGGCTGCTTTACCCACCTGGTAAACGGAGTTAGTAGAGCCAACTCTGTAAGGTTCTCAGCATTCAGCAGCCACAAAGGAGAAGGCACCAGTGGGGGATTTGGCAGGGAGAAGGTCTTTGATACAGTCACATGGCTTTTACTGAGGCCTTCAGTAGTCCCGATTCCAGTTCTTTTGACAGATAACCAATAAAAAATTCCCTTAAGGGGAATAGACATCTGTGTTGACATTTGTGTCTCAAATCCCTAGATTAAAAGTTTTTCAGACAACTTCTTGAAATACGTATTTGTGCTCATACACCCGTGCACACCCCTTCGTGTTAGTCATTGACTACTGTTCCTTATAGAAAAAGATTAGGTTGTAGAAGTGTATAACATAGCTATTAAAATTATAATTCAGAAAAATTGAAATATTTTAAGTTGCCACTTAAGATGGTTACCAGATCTTTAGTAATAATTTATATTCTCTGCCAAAATTTAAACATTAAGTTATTACATCTTATTTGCTTGTGTATGAGTAATATTAACCAGTTTTTGCCCCCAATACAATTATATTTGGAGCTGCCTCAAAATAACTAATTTTTATCAGCCAGCCTAAAAACGATCTGATGTTTTATGATTTTCTCTCCAATCTACAATTGAGAATGTAGTAGTCTTGGGGCCTGTTTTCTTGCAGGAAAACTAGGCTGATTGCATAGCCCTTGGTATGGTAACTAGTACCCCAGGGGCTTGGCTCATGCAAGTCCTCTGGGCAACTGTTTTCTTGGCCTTGATGGTCTGGATTTCTCTGCCAGGAATAACCACCCTGTGTCTTGTTTTAGCCAAAGAAAGATCTTCATTTCCTCATGGAATGTAATCATGAATATAAAGGCTTCCTTGGCTGCTTCCCTGATATTATCGGCGCCCACAAGGTAACTTGAGCACAGAAGTGCACAGATGACACGGGTGACCTAGGGCTGCCACGCAGTGCCACCTGCATGGCCACCTGCGAGGGCCCTGTTGGTCGGCTTGGCCCCGAGTAAGGAAGAGCTTTCTGAAATCTGCCGGAGCTGCCTGTGGTGTTCAATTAGTGAGGTCCCAGAACACATATAGGCTATGGGTTATCGTTTCTTTGATTCTATAGACAGACTATTTTGAGGGAACAAAAATGTGAAAAATACTCCTTTCTGCCTATACTTAGGTCAGGTATCAAACAAAATAATCATGCTATTTGAAATTCAAAACAAGATTAGGAATACTGCTTCCCTTACTAGTGAGACCTGTGTAAGCTGCTTGGACAAGTCACTAAAGACCCTTCCTTCCCCGTCGAGATGAAGTAAGATATTCTGTCCCTGGGCCTGACGAAGGGTTCCTAATTAAAACTTGAATGGTCAACATCGATTTTATATTTTTGTGCTAATAAGGAAACTATAGAAGTCCCACCATAAAGGTATTTTTTGAACTGAATTTTGAAATATTTTGGGATGTCCTCACTTTTTGATTCTGGTTAGTTTTTCTGTTTCCAACTCATTATTTCAGAATAGGGGCATTTTATCAACTATAGTACTCTGAGATGTTGTAATATACTTAGATTTATTAGGAAAATCTCTGCCAAGGGCTGGTCTGCGGCCCTAACAATTCTGACATGTGGCCATTTTAGCATTCAGCTCAATAATACAAGCCTCAGGAAGGGGTAGTACGGGCAAATAGGAAGCTTTGTGCAACTTCAGATAATTTAATATGAAACTCAGAACATTCTCTTTACCAAGTGGACACTTGGGGGGTGTGTCGGTATTGTGGCTGTTGTGGGTAATGGTAGGAATGCAGTGATCTCTCTGAGATAGTGGTTTCCCCTTCTTCAGCTATGTACCCAGAAATGCAATTGCTAGGGGAATAGATCTTAAATGTTCTCGTCACAAGGGGAAAAACAAACTTGTAACTCTGTGAGGTGATGGATGTTAACCGTTACTGTGGTCATCATCCTGCAGTGTACACAGACCTCAGATGGTTATGTTGTACTGTCGTACACCTTCAACTCTTACCTTGCTGTCTGTGAATTACATCAACAAAACTGGCGGGGGTGGAGAGGGATAGGGAATAAAATAAACATAATAAAACTAAAAGTCTTAGTTAAAAAAACATCTCAGAAGAGTTAGCTTGTTGTAGGGATTTATGCCAGCAGTTAGAGTTTTGGGCATGGAGCCTGATTTATGCACGAGTAGAAAGTTTTTCTTCCCAGGCAGCTCTAATGAGCACTGTGATGATCCTGGAGTGGGAAACGTTTGGCAGCTTTTACCACGACTTCTGAGTATCAACTTGGAATTGATGCAGTGCTCCTTACAGACCTGGAGCAAAGCTGACAATTCACACGCCCAGGCACCCACAGACAGCGTGCCCCCACCGATAGAGACAAAGAGGGCCCCGGCACACACACTGGGCTGCCGCTCATCCACTTTCTAAACTCCGGTGCCTGTTTCTGTCTCATGTGCTACTCTTGTCCTGGCACAGGCTCACAGAGATTACAGAAATAGATTGCTGTTTGGTTTTCCTTCTGTTGTAGCCTAAAACTGTCCATTTTAGCTTAGTTCTGTTTTTTAAGAATAGCAACCTTTTTGCTTCCAAGTGACTTGCAGGAAGTTATACTTAGGTGCTTTTCTATGTTCTAATTTTGTGGGGAGATTTTTTTATTCAGTAGCCAGTCATAGAATATGTCGGCATTGTTGCATTTTAAATTAATGACTAATCTTTTGAGCACTGTTTTATTGACACTGTTGCATTTGTATTTCACAGGGAGCAATAGAAAAAGTGAAAGAAAGTGATAAACTGGTTGCAACTAGTAAAATCACCCCCCAGGACAAACAGAACATGGTGAAGCGGGTTGGCACTATGTCTTATGCGTTGCAAGGTAAGACAGAGGTTTGTGCACAGCTAGCAGAGATTTTTTTTTTTCCTCCCCAGGGAAGTTGCTATTTTCCTAGCTAGAGAGAAATCTAAATGTGAACCACAGCTAAGCAAGTGAGAGCTGATTTAAAGTATCCTCCTAAGGGCAGCCTGGGTGGCTCAGCAGTTGAGCGTCTGCCTTTGGGCCAGGGCGTGATTCTGGAGTCACAGGATCGGGTCCCACATCGGGCTCCCTGCATGGAGCCTGCTTCTCCCTCTGCCTATGTCTTTGCCTCTCTGTGTGTGTGTGTCTCATGAATAAATGAATTTAAAAAAAAAAAAGAAAAGGTATCCTCCTAAGCCTGTTCTTTGCAGGATGCCAGTGTTAATGAAAATGAACCCATTTCCTTGACATAACTTTGAATGACAGTCTGCTTGTGTGCGTTTTTATTATTTCTTATAAACAGTTAAGATCCTTTTAAAACTCTTAATATTAGCCTATCATCATGCTGTGTTAGATTCCAAAGTTCCACTTTTAACAGTTTATAGCCTCTGTCCCCCAGGAGCACAGAATGTAAAGGGAGTTTGGACATGGCTTTTTCAAAAAAGTTTGAATGTTAGTAAAAAGATATTAATTAATTTTTACATATCCAAGTGCTTTCCAGCACACAGGAGCAGTGAACGGATTTTCCCTGTCTTGATGGACAGACAGAGCAGGCTTGGGCAAAGGAGAAAGGAGAAGGATGCTCTAGTTTGAACAAAACCATACAAAATATAATGGTACAAGATTTTATCATCTGCCTTTAGGAGTAAGATCTCCTTACAGGCTGTTGGAGAATAGGTGCTGGTAATAGTGGAGGGCCTGGAGAGCCAGACAGAAGAGCCTAGACTTGATGTAGACATTAAAAAACCATTAAAACATTGATGGTGGGAGGCGGGGGGTACACTGCTGAGAGAGGTGGGAGAGCCTGGGGGGGGGGGGCAGACGGTAATCGGAAAGCCCACGCAGAAAACTGCTGCTTCTGTGGCCCAAGAGTTCCAAGCCTGAACAAGACCTGGTGCTCGTTTGCAGGCTTTTCCAGGGAATAGCCCTCAGGACTAGGTAGTGAGCGGGACACAGAATGTCCGGAAGGCTTCCTTGAATGAAGATCTGGCTTCTGAAGGGTTCGAAATGGGGGATTTGGCTTCAAACTTGTGTTTGAAGTTATCCAAACAGATAAATGAGAAACTTTATACAACTTCAGATAACATAAAACTTAGGACGGTGCCCTCTCTGTAGGAATTTATGCCTGCAGCTGGCTCTCTAGGTGCGCAGAATCAGGGAAGAGGCAGGTGGAGGTGTGATGAGGCCAGAGTTGGTATGGGGTGGGGTAGGGTACTGAGAGACAAATTCCATAAGGGAGTCATCTGGAGTCAGTACATTCAGCAGAGTTGAAGATCCGCTCACCTGGTAAGAGGTTGGGTTCTGGGAGCCCTACTGCCCAGGGCAGTGAAGCTCCATACAGGAGAGGGTCTTCCCCTGTGCCCAGCCATCCGTATAGCCTTTCTCAGGCTCCTGAGACACCTGCCCAGGCAGCCGCTGTGCAAGAAGGAACGGGGCAGGGCCTGCCAGGTGCCTTGCCGGGTCCTGCCTACAGATGCCACATCCTACAGATGCACATAGGCGTCTGCAGAGGGTAACCACCACGCCGACCTGCTGCTTCACTGGTGCTGTGAGAACCATGTGCACACATGAGGGATTGTGTGCACTGGGTCTCAGAGTATCTGATAGGCAAGTCAACAAAAAATTGCCCCTCTACTGGAAAGTATTGTTGGCCACGACAGTTCAGGTTATTTTTCTAGCCTCTTTATAAAGTGATTTGTCAAGAACTGGCACTGCCCCAAAGCCAGCGAGACTAAACCAGTTGATGACTCATCACAACCCAGAACCCCCGGTGTTGTCTGCTGCAGTTCAGGGGTACTGATTGATATCTTGGTTTTGGTTGCAGCTGAGATGAATCACTTCCATAGCAACCGGATCTATGACTACAACAGTGTCATCCGCCTGTACCTGGAGCAACAAGTGCAGTTCTATGAAACAGTAAGTTGGCCACCCCTCCTGGGCATATTACACATGTGTGCACACACACACACACACAGGAGAATCCATGGTCACTTAACCTTGACCATATAAAGTTAATCTGTTTGTAATTTTAATCCTGAGTAATAAACAAAAGGTTGGTTATTGGGCAGGGTTTTTTTTTTTTTTTCTTTAATCCCTTTTAATTATATCTGCCTTTTCCTTTTTGAATCACACTGGGTTAAAAAAGGTTTCTCTTTAGGAAGAAGGGGCACTGGAAGCTGGTTGTGAGGTCCCTAGGAGCCCTTCCCAGGAGGTTCCCTACCCCCACATCCTCTCTCTGCCTGGGGACAGTGAATGACAGGAGGCCCCTGGCTCTGCGGGCTCTCAGCTGGGGATGGAGCCTGGCACCACGGGCAGGCTTCATGAATGAGGTTTCATTGTGCATCAAAGGAACTTCAGAAAGAAAATGAGAGAAAGGAACCTCAAATATCTTCATTTAGGAAACGGTCCCAAAAATGTAAACTTTTATACCCTGCCTAGTAATGTGGTTGCTTACCAGAGTGTACAGACAACAAAGATGTAGCACACAAGCAGAAACTGAGACCTCTGAAGGCAAGCTCTGTATGATCGACCATGTGGTAGCTGCCGAGTTTCTCACGGAGTGTTCCACTATTTCCATGATATTGTCTCACATCCGTTCAGGGTGATGGTAGGCAAGCCCCAAACTCACATCCGTGCCTGTGTCATCTTTTGGCAAGACAGTGCAGAAAATGTGTGTCTCCAACAGCAGATTCTTAAAAAGGAGCTGCGATTAGTGTGCTTATGTGTGTGACTTGTGTGTCAGGAGCAGCTGGTTTTGGAGCTGAGTTCCCAGAATTCCCTTCAGCATTCTTAGCCTTGTAGCATGTGGTTCCTGGGCTCTCTCTGTATGAACTGGCGCCACTCTATCGATGCCCCTCATGTATTAGGGTCGCAGATTGCATTTGTTCTACATGGAAAGATAATTGAAGGGCACCTCTTAAAATTCTGACAATGTTAATTTGTTAGATAATCTCCAGCCCAGTGAGGTTTAATCATCGATGACATTGTGACTCAAAATAGAAAACCATGCATTTAATCAGTTCCTGTTAGAGGTAACAGTTTTATGAGAAAGTAACCCTTAAATACTAAAATTTGCATACTTGTTCATGGAGCAAGCATTTCTTGAGCCCCTGTTATGTACTAAGCACTTAACTCCAGATACTTAGGCTCCATGAACAGCCACAGCCTCTGTGTCCTAGGGGAACATGTGGTCCCCTGGGGAAGGCACGGGTACATTGCCGCAGCCACAGTAGAGCCCTGGCTTTGGAACGGTGTACCGTCTACACAGCACATACTAGCAGCAGGAGGCATGCTTGGGGGTCCACGGGTACCCAAGAAGACAGGGGGAATCTAGGCAAGCCTGAAACCCACACCCCCTCACTCACTGAGGAAGAAATGCCTGGTCTGGAAATACTGCTGCTCAGCGAGGCAGGGGCTGGAAAGAGGGGGGGCTTCCTGCAAGCTGGGGCCATGGCCCCTGGCAGCACCAGCTGGGGCTTGGGGGGGGTCCCCCCAGCTGGTTGGTACTGGAAGAGTCTAGAAACACAGCCCAGTTAAAAGCATCTGAAATGTTTGCCATGTCTAACTTGCAAGAGATGGAAGCAGTAGACGATCATGAAGTCCTGGCAGGAGTGGTGTCTCAGGATTGTTTTTGTTTCTTCACCAGATTGCAGAAAAGCTGAGGCAGGCCCTTGGCCGCTTCCCAGTCATGTAGACCAGAACAGAAAATGACGAGAACTCCGAAGTGCTTCTTTCTGACTTTGGGCAATGCAATTTAATATTTTTCCCCCCTTCTGCAAAAACAAAAAGGAAAGAACGAACGAAAACCAAAAAGAAACAGAGTTGCAAAAAACTGCATCTATTTTATTAACAAACCTAAATGAACACATCGGTTACTTAGGGACAGTTGTCTCTGGCTCATTTCCACATCCATTATTTAAAACAATGGAAATTGTCTCTATTTTTGGAAAGTACTTAAAGTTATCAGAATTTTGAATGGAAAATTAGGGGTTTCCCCCACTGATATTTTACATAAAATTGTGATTTTTACATCGTCCATGATCTTCTGGTTCTTACCCAATGTCAGATGATTACTAATTGCTTTCTTAAAAATATGAAATATGCCGGGATAAAAAAATATATATGTTTGTATATTTTTATAACTCTTTTCAGTCCTGTGGGACACCTGTCTACTTAGGAAAATCTACATGCCTTTCACGGATGTATTTATGACTCCAGTGCTTACGTTTCCAGGAGAGAGGAAGCCAGGAGAGGGGCTCCTAGGGCCGCTCCTCACCGGCAGCGGCTCACAGTCACTGTCCCCCTTTCCCCAGGAACATTGCTGAGCGTCCCCTTCTGTGCAGAGGGCTTGCTCCCTGGCACCCCCTTCCCAGGCATAGTTCTGGCCAGAAGGAATATGCTGGAGAAGTAGGGCTCTGACTCTGCTCCCAGGGCTGGGCTGACCCTGGTGCTCGGGAAAGAGTGGTCCCCGGGACAAACATGCTCCCCACAGCTCTCACCTCGAATGGAAGTCTCAGTCTATCCAGTCAGACGTGATGAGAAATGGGTGTGAGAGCGTAATTTGCTCCTCGCTTCAGAAGGGAGACCAGCGGGCCAAGGCTATTATCTGAAAAGATGAAAAACCCAGCTCAGTAGACCTCTCCGTCCCCACCAAATGGAAAAGTTTAGGGACCGATATAAGGGTGACAACCTGAATAATGCACAGTGATCCCTAGAGCTTTTATGTTCAAGAAGTACGGAGTGATGTTCCTCGTGACTGCACCCTAAACGTCAGAGTTGTCCTGACCACTAGGACTCCAGTAAACGGCATAAAGCCAGACACCATCTTCATAGACTGTCCGCTTTCCATCTGAACACACACTATCTTGCCTGCTGGCGAGCGTGTCCGTCCACAGTTGCCTTACGACAGTACCCACACTGCTTTCATTTTCCTGACCTACCGATTATAGTATAGAAAATGGAAAGTTTGGGCCCACACAAATAAAATGAAACCAAAAAATAAGTAGAAGAGGAAATCAGACGAACATGAATATGAGAATTTCTTGTTCTTTAATATCACGGGTTTTGTTGACGTTTTATAAGTAATTTTCCCTACTTGATTTTTCTTTTATAAAATCTCATAGAACAATGTTTATGATACAACCATTTAATATATGTACAAATTGTAAAGAATATGTATAAATGTTTTACACAAATGTAAGAGCATGTAGAAGCCAACATATAAATAAATTGTTTAAAAAAAAAACCTGTACAGTAAATTCTGAAAGCACTTTTTCAAAACACTTTTTGGTGTTTGTGTGATTTTTTTTCCCTTCCTTTCCTCTTTTCTTTTCTTTCTTGGATAATTGCCTCTTGTTTCCAGCTCCTGAAAATGGTCTAGGTAATGAATTTTTACCCAATACCTAATTCTCCTGATATAAATTAATAATTGAATTTCCTGAGTCAGAGTCCCCAATCCTGGAAACGTGTCATAATCACCAGAGAGCGAGCTGTAAGAAACAGATACTGATGCCCATGTCAAGTGTATAAGGGATCCGTAGAGAAGCAACCGATGGGGTGTGCGTGTTCCTTAATTGATGTTTGCTCTTTTCCATATCCTGTAACTTAATTCTATGGTGTAAAAGTCTTATGTTACAAGAAAAGAGTAAGAGAGGAAAGAAATCAGATATTAGCTTTATATACACACACTGGTATTCAAACAAAAGGAGAAAGGACGGCTGAAATCCTTTTCTTGGGCACTCAGCAGTGGCTGTGGCCAAGTCAGCCTTGGTGAGTGGAGTGTATGTTGCTGAGCCCACGCATAACCTCCATCCCTGCCACCATGGCACTTTGTTCGTGAACCCACCGGGATGTGACCGGGGAGGCTGGAGAGAGAGACTGACTGGTCTCCACAGAATGAATCATCCTATCCACTTGATTATTAAAATCCTCTTCTGCCAAGGTCACCCTTTGGTGGGCATTTATGGGACACAAATATCTTCACTTTTTTGAGGACGGGTCTATCCACATTCCACTTCCCCACATTTCTCTCTCACCAGTAGTCCAGTTGATTTCAGGTATCTGACCTGAAACCGTGGCCACAGCCCAAGAATGGATAGATCATCACCCGCGAGGCCATTTCTCTTCCCAAGCGAAGTGAACAGCCTGGTGCACTGCTCGATGTTCTGCCCACTGGGAGGATTTCCCTTCACCGTGTCCTTTAGGGATTCCTGGGGAGGGGCTGTGGTGCTGGGGCTGTCTGCTTCAGGTGGTGTCTGAAGACCTTGCAGAACCATCTATAAACCGGGCCCGAGTCTTCTCTCCCTCTGTCAGCTGATCTTTGAGAACTCTCCACGCAGCCACAGGTCAGGCTAGGAGAGAGAAGATGGTGTAGCGGTAGTGGGGACTGTGGGCATTTGGGTAACTTCTTTGTGCCCATAGGGCCTGCTCGGGCCTGATCATATATGTACCACTTCCATTTGATGATGGAGTGCTGCCATGTGTGCCCAACTTCATGGCCCGATGGGTCAGATAATACCCAGTTCACAATGGGCAGCTCGGGTGTCACCACCTAACTTGGGGCCCATGGATAAGCATTTAGGCTACACTAAGGCCAAGAGCTGTTTCTCACAAGGAGAGTAGTTATCTGGAGGGGGGATGGCAAGGCTTTGCTCCAGAATCCTAAGAGCCTGCTTTATTCCTCACCTCTAGGGCCCTGCCAAAGGCTCCAGAAGGGATCCCTGTCTGCTGTGACATTTCAGGTGCCATTGAATGTGCTGGAACCTATGGCCCCTGCCTGAGAGCAGAGTAGCTTGCACAGCAGCCTGGACCTGTTGTGAAGCTTCTCTTATTCTGGGCCCCACACCAAGTATCTGTGCATCCTGTGGCCTAGTCGATGATACCTTCCATACGTTCTGATTTAATTGGTGTGAGGAAGGGGCCAGGAAAATGAAAAAGGAATCCAAGGAAAAAAGATGACATGAGGTATTCAGAAAAATGGTAGCTGACTGCAAGCCAGGAAAAGTGAAAGGAATTTGAAAGTGAAAAATTATCCATTGAATGTTGATACTTGGAAGATTCTCCTTCGAGTGGCAAAATTTTAATGACCTCGTGTAGATTTCTCCGTGGATTCAAACACATCGTGTGGTTCTTATATGTTGACTTTTTTTTATTTGCATCAACCTTTGGCTATCCCAGAAGAGCTATAGATACAGAATAATTTATAATATTTACAGATCTTGACCCTGTAAGAATCAGTATTTGGAGAGGAGAGGTAAAAGCACGGCGCAAGGATAGATCAGTCTCCTTGTTGAGCAAGAGACCCTGGTTGCCTACCACCAGGAATGGCAGTCCCAGGATGCCAGCCCCCTGGAGGATTCACAGTTGCCAAGAAGACACGACTCAGGCACTGGATGGAAGCCTTTACTCACAAAGATCAGCTTCAGGGCAGCCCTGGTGGCTCAGCGGTTTAGCGCCGCCTTCAGCCCAGGGCGTGATCCTGGAGACCCAGGATCGAGTCCCACGTCAGGCTCTCTGCATGGAGCCTGCTTCTCCCTCTGCCTGTGTCTCCGCCTCTCATTCTCTCTCTGTGTTTCTATGAATAAAATCTTTAAAAGAAAAAAAAAAAGATCAGCTTCAGTAATGAGTGTCGGTCCCCAATGGCCAGTGGGTCTCCTACTGCCACAGGGTCTCCTACTGCCTCAGGTGTAGGGAGACGGTCTGCGCACACCCGACTCATACAGCAGGTGAAGGACCCTGGCCCTCCCCGCTGGGAGTAGATAGAGCAGAGGGGTTGACCAGGTGCCGCATGACACACTTCAAAACAAAGAAATACACATCAGGCCTGGAACAAGCCAAGACAGCCCCAAATAAAGAATATGCTCCTAGGTGTGTGCCTTAATTTTTTCAACGTGTTTGATTTAAAATCCTTTTCTCCGAGGAAGTAAGGAGAATTTTAGTTCCTTTGATAAGGAGGGCATTTTCCCATGGGTCTCTTGCACTCCGCCCAGCTTGGCCGGCTGTGCCAAGAACGCAGAGCCTGGACTTCTTTTGACCCGGGCCATTTCTCGGGGCTGTTTCCAGCAAGCATCCTTGATGGATGACCTGACACCTTCACGGAAGAAAAGCAGGCTTGCTCCTGCTTGCTCTGAAAGCTCCAGGCTCCTCTCCTGTAATACAGCTCATGGCATGTGCTCGCATCCCTCAGGGTCCTCTAGGCCGCCCCCCCCGCCCCCCCCCCACTTGCAAGGCAGGAAGAAGCCAGAGCTCATACTGCTGCAGCACCATGCATAATAAAGCCTGTTGTCCGCCTCACCTAAGCCTCCTGCCGGCATCCAGGACATGGTAACACTAACTCATTTGCTCATAAACAGAACAAAATCAATCCCAGACCCAGCTGTTACTTTTGTAAGAAAACATTTTTAAGGGGATCCCTGGGTGGCTCAGCAGTTTGGCACCTGCCTTTGGCCCAGGGCGTGATCCTGGGGTTCCGTGATCGAGTCCCGTGTCGGGCTCCCGGCATGGAGCCTGCTTCTCCCTCTGCCTGTGTCTCTGCCTCTCTCTCTCTCTCTCTCTCTCTCTCTCATAAATAAATTTTTAAGAGTCTTTTTAAAAAATTTCAAAACAAAAGAATAAGAAAATGAATAAAGCCACCAAAAAATACATACATCAGCATAGACTGTGAAAGGATGCGGAATAGTCTTTGACACTCCACGAGGAAACTGTATCAAAGAACAGGAGAACAAGTTGAAGTCTTAGCCAAGCAGAAAGGTTTTTTTTCCCCCAAATTTATTGAGATACAACTGACTTGTACAATACGAATTCAAGCGTGTGGTGTGGTGGCCTGGTATATGACTATATTCAGGAACATACCATCACCTCACGTCGTTCTCATTTGGTGTGTGCCAGGTGAGAAGTTTTCAGATCTACTGTCAACAACTTTCAAATACGTAATAAAGGATTGTCACCTGTCACTGCCACACCACACAGGAATATGTGAGTGCCGTTGGCAGTTCAAAGAACAGCAATGAACCACTTTGAGGACCACGAAAGCTCTGGGGAGAAGGGAGAAGAATGGCTTTAGTCAACAGTACGTTCAAAGGTCTGGAGATGGAAGTACATGATCTTAGGCAAAAAAAAAAAAAAATTCAAGGAAGCAATGGTCTGTCGGATTTGCAGGGCTCCGTGGGCGGGAAGAGAGAGACAGGTAGGGTGTGGGATTTGAATCCAGGAACCTGGGCGAGGTGAGACCAGCTGCTTTAAGCTGTGCGGTAATGTTCTATGAAAGGCCAAAGACCTGCCACTGGCTCACCCTCGCCACTGGGAGCTGCCCTGCAGAGGGAGCACCTGCAGCAGAGTCAGGGAGGCCGGGAAGTGGGGTTGGTGGTGAGTCATTAATTCTGGAGAAAAGCCACGGACTTACTGAAAGCAATGTTGGTTTTACCAGCAGGCCAGAGTCATGCACTTCTCCTCTGGGCATAAAGTGACGTCACAGCATCTGGTGGCGGACACAGAGGCCTCTCGCGGTTGGGATGCAGCCCCATCAGCTGTCCTGCGGAGGTTCTCAGCCCGAGGTAACGGTGCCTCCAGAACACATTTACTGAGGCTGTTCCTGTCCTCTGGGGAGTAGATGTCAGAGATGCTGTTGAACATCCTCCAATGCAAAGAAGAGCTGTCACAATAATATATATTTCCACCCAGAATGTCCATCGTACCCAAACTGAGAAACCCTACTTTAAGGCAAACAGACAAGGGGCGTCTGGGCGGCTCAGTTGGTCAAGTGTCCAACTCTCAGGTTCAGCTCAGGTCATGAGCTTATGGGTTGTGGGATCGAGCCCTGTGTCAGGCTCTGCACTCAGGGGGAAATCTACTTGAAGTCAGTCTCTCTCTCTCTCTCTCTCTCTCTCTCTCTTTCTCTCTCTCTCTCTCTCTGCCTCCCTGCCTCACATGCTCACTTGCTCTCTTTCTAATCTTTTAAAAACCATAAAGTTAAAAAATTTAAAAAAATAAAAAATAAATAAAAACCATAAAGTTAACAGACAATTGCTTTTTGCCTGGGGACCAATAGATGGTTTCAGGTACACACAGAAGGTGCTCAATAAATGTATATGGCCGAGGATAGGATGAAGGCCATCATCAGTAGGATCTAAAGGAGCCCAGGGTAGTGGGGGAACAGAGGTGACAGGAGATGTGCTAAGGCTAAAACCACGGCACGTGGACCAGGAAGCAAAACCCAGGCTAACAGTGAGTTTCTCTAGTGGTTCTTTGGGGGTATGATGATGAGCGACCTTTATCATAAAACTGT